TTTAGAATATTATATCCACACAGCCGAGGACAGGCTGAAATGGTGCAAGATAATGCAGGAGAAAGTTATTAGAGGAGACCACGACCCTCACCACTGAGGATTATCGACGCAAGGAGAAGGACAATATTTAATGCTTGTTACTTCTATCCCTAGCCCTGCCTGTGATTTAATGTAAGGTGGAGTAAAGAAATACCTCGCTACAATCATGACAATATAATTACTTTCACATAAAACTTTATTTACTACCGTTATGCAGTAATGGATTTACGCTTCGGCCGTGAGGCGCCAAATTTGAGAAATACGAAAAATTGCAGAGCCAAGAAAAATAGTAAAGACAGTCTCCTTTCAAAAATGAGTTCAGATTATTTTTTATAAAAGAACAACAAATATAATGCGATTTAAAATTTTGAATAAAAATATTGGAACAAAATTAATAAAATCTATTCTATCTAACATTAAGGGCGGCGAGATGAACAAAGCCCAGGCCGGTATCAAACCTTAATGAGTCACTGGAGCTTATGTTGTTTAGTACGAGTTCAATGACATAAAAATAATTAAAAAAATTTAGATTACTCAAATCAACAATTAAAAAATAACATGAATCCGAAATCCTTCCGAATCCTCGTTAGCGCTTGTCGATCCTCAATTATTCAATCAGGAGTTATGCATCAACGGAACGACAATAAATAAACGAAAATCGAGGAGACATTTAAATAGCAAATAAACCGACAGAGACCGGTTTTTATGTTCGATTTTTTTTTACGGCTTAATCACTGGCCCCCGAAGCCGGGACGAATGAACGGTCGAGAATAACGACATAAATTGGTTTCCGAATGAAAAATATGGCCGCTACGTGAATATGGCGGGAAATGTCGTTAAAGAACGTTTTAGGATTTGAATTTCGAAAGATTATTTAATCAAACTAATTAACAGGAAACCTTTAGATTGGCTACAAAATAGATGCAACTATGTTCGAATGGCTTGAGAGCTTGTTTATTTATTTATTTTAAAAGCATTAACTCGGTGGTGCTGTAATTAGTGCCCCTGATTGTTGCACCGAGGGTCGTGAGTTCGATTCCCATATCGGGCAAACGTTCGTGTAATGAACAGGTTTGCTTGCTCTTTGTCTGAGTATTTGTTGTCTATATATGTATATATTTAAACGTTACGTATTTATGGCAGTCCCTAGTACTCATAACACGGAATCCTAATTTGAGGTCGGATGTCCGTGCGTGATTTGTTTCCAGTTATTTATATTTATAAAAAGCAACACTTTAAGCTCATGTGTAGATACACTACCGACGAGGCTTCCGTATTCTCTTGGAATCACTTCTTATATGCTCAATCTCTGAAAAACGGCACGAAAGAGTTAATGTTGACTCTTTAGTTTATAGGTTTTTTTTATTGCTTAGATGGGGGACGAGCTCACAGCACACCTGGTGTTAAGTGGTTACTGGCCCATAGACATCTACAACGTAAATGCGCCACCCACCTTGAAATACAAGTTCTAAGGTCTCAATATATGTAGTTACAACGGCTGCCCCACCCTTCAAACCGAAACGCAATACTGCATCACGACAGAAATAGACAGGGTGGTGGTACATACCCGTGCCGACTCACAAAAGGTCCTATCAACTTTTACGTTTACGATCGATATCCACTAAATCGATTCCAATAAAAACTCATAACTTCGCGCCCGTTTGTGACTATATAGCAAAAAAAACGTAAAAAGATACCGCAAACAAAACATTCGCCATTTCTATACGATTCGCGAGCTACAAACGTAATAACAGATGTGAATAAAAAGGTTTGTCACTTCACCCCTGACCCGAACCGATTGACTTTCGACACGATAATCGTTTATCATAAAAACAATACCGTTACTCTGAACGATTTCGCTTTAGGTGGGATATTCCTTAGAGCTGTACCGAATAAAATTATTTCGTGGATACAATTTTTTTTGTACAGGTGAAAATCACCGGATCGCCATCCGCCCGGCCCGGGTATGTGGGACTTGAACCTCACCAAAAACGCCGCTCGCAGCCGGCGCTCAAGTCCAGACCGGGCCGGAGCCCAGTCGGGGCCATTGAGACGGCGTGACAGGGTTGACGCAGAGAATATTAGAGCAGACGCGACCGACGTCGTTGGTCGTCAACTATCGCCTCAACGACCCGTCGGTCGGGCGTCCTCGGGGTGGCGCCGCGAGTCTGGTTGTAATGTTGACCGCGGGAGCCCCCCTACTCTGACTGGGTTCTGACCCGGACGAAGATCGGACGTCGGGTGTCAAAGTGCAGGGGAGTCGTTTAGTGCGGTAGGGCCCTAAAGCTCCTTGGTCCCCAACATCAGCAGATCGTCAAGTCCCACATACCAAGCGCGCCCCCTAAGTGCGGGGACCTCGTTGGAGGTTCGGCCCCCGGCCCGAAAAAACATAATTGTATACGTCACCGAATCTTTCTATATAATATTTATAAACCTCAAGACGTCTGATCAACTTGTAGCGTACGTATTTTTAAAACGTGCACAAGCTTAGCCTCGCGTTGAACACAGAGCTCCCGTACTAGCTAGCTACTCCTGTTTGCCATTGTTTTTATTTTCAGACTTCGGACTAACATTCTTGGACATAGGTCCCTCCAACGTTCGCCACAGTAACCGGTCCTGCATTTTTATATTGACTAGTGGTCCCCCGTTGTCGAAATTCGACTATAATTATTTGAAATTATAAGTTTGAACATTATTATGGTTCTATTGTCAAATACTATTTATACTTCTATAATCACAGATTTCGCCAAGACTACACTTGATACAAATAATATTATAGACAAATCTAGACAAATAATATTAATCTATTCTCAGTTTGACCTTTTTTTATTCTACCTAAGCTGATAGCCTTATGAGGCTATTTCAGCGTAACCTTAACTAGTAAGTGAGCTCACGGGGCTCAAACCTGACGACGTTACTAACACGGACCCTAGCAAGAGCCGTGCTTCGCAAAATCTACCATCGGATCGGAAACGCGAGCCACTGAGAAGATCCGGCGAGAAACTTAGTGGGCTGTGTCTGTGGGTTAATTTACTCGTCGAGCCCTTCGTCGCAAGCGACGGCTTCGACGAGAATGATGACCGGTCAATTTCACCTCAAACTATAAACAATAAGAAAAGTCTGACAGTAAACAAATAATACGCATGCGTGTGTGTATCAAATACATGGTATTGTGTGTAATGTTTTTTAAAAACATTCTGCACTCCTTATCTACCTAATATTCTTTATAAGTTTGGGAAATTTCATAGTCCTCCGTCCGCGCAATTTTCGTAAAAAGGGGTACAATTTTTTTGCTTCACTTATTAATATATAGATTTAAACACATTAATTTTTAGACATTTTTTTAATTAATAGATTTAAATACATTCACAACGCGAACACAACGCGACAGCAGACTGCAATCTTGCACACGTCGCGCCACTTTCCTCATCCGAAAACGATATAAAGGTACCTACATACATTGGTAAGTATTGTGAAACATTCATCAACGTTCACACTAACACACATTAAGATCCGGTTTAAAACGAAAGCTCAAAGGGCGATTATACAATGCATTTAAGGCCTCTACCACGTGTCATAAGAGAATATCGCAATCATTATTCTCTGATGTCTTTGGGCTGTGGTAATGTCTTAACACTAAATAGGCTGTGAGTTCAACTATCCATCTAATACAAAGTGTGACGTTTTAATCGTTCTCTTGGTGCTGAGGATCGTGACTCCCAAGTGTATCCAATCTCTGGAATATGTGATCCACACCTTTCACTTTCTATAATTGCAATACACACCTGTCACCACCTATGTTTACAGTTTATTATAACAAAACATCGTATTATCGGAATTAAACTAATTTAATTCGGAGGTCGATGCCCGCGCCGCATACAAATGCTTTTTTATTTTTTATTGCATAACTTTTAGGATTGCACAGACGAGTAAATACGTCATAGTGTAATGAGTAAATGAGTGATAGTGGAGCTGTAGATATAGACAGAGCGATGATACCCACTCGTACGGACTGCCAAGACCCTACCACCGGTAATCACGCAAATTTTATATAAAACCTTACAAAAGAGTATAATATCCGTGGTGACATTATTCATAGATGTCTAGAATCTCAGTTATAAAGGCAACGATGCGCGATGCAGGAGTGAATAGATGCTGTTTCTCTACAAGAATACACCATAAGACAAACTTCAACGATATTTGACGTTGTTTAATTTAAAAAAATAAAAGAACACGTATTGCGGCATAACTAAAATAGTTAGACATATGCTGTCGCGACACTTTTTGTAAATAATAATGTGTTCTACAAAGTCGTAGTACATTATTTTATCCTATCATCAATAGTTTTCGCAGGGTACGCGATGTCAAGAATATTTTAGGTACTTTTTTTACACCTTGGGTTACATTATTGGAGTTTTAGTAAGGATCCCTATTTTCTTCAAAAAAGATTATAGCCTATGTCACTCGGGAATAGTGTAGTTGTAGCTTCCAAATAGTGAAATAATTTAAATTTTAACTTTAAATTTTAATTTAAACAATAGTAAAAAAAAATATTTGTAGGCAATCTTCTACTGGGGATTTGGACAGCAGACGTGAGTCCGAAGTCTTCGGATAATTAAGGATCAGGAACCCGCTGACTGGAAACCCCGCGGTAACACTCCCATTACACATTGTAACGCATTCACCTTACATAGGAATATAAGGTGAAAACTTGGTTACACCCACCGGTAGCCGCAGTGGAGAGAATGTTACTCTTAATTAACGTTTATCCCAGGGCGCCATATAAATTAAATAAAAGTTGAATTGCAGTCACACATAATAACATATTAAATAAAAAAACACACACACACACACACACACGTATACAATTAATTTAAAAGACTAATAAAAGAGATAACTAAAAATACTTAAACTAGACTACAATGTTCTCGCCGAGCTCCCCGTTGCAGCGCTGACTTTATCCGATGGCTTGTTGCACCGAAAACATACGCATTTCGCATACAGAAACAAGTGCACGCGTGTTAAATGACACAACTTGCACACAGGAAATGTGGAATTTAATTATATCCATTTCACATCTTCAATAGCCAGTTGTGACGCTGAAACGGCAAATATCAATTTGGTTTAGTATGTAAATCGATCGACTGTACTGTGTTTCTAATGCGATAGTACCTACTCATCAAAATTGTGACATTTACAACAACAAAAAGTTTGAGGATTTAAAGTAAAGAGGAATTGATTTTTCGAAAGTCGAACAGTTCAGTGACAATGCTATGGTACGTTGTATTAATAGTGACGTGCCTATTCTATTATTCGTCGCGTCGCCTGCGATATTTCTCGTCGAGGGGAATCGCTACGCTTCCGACAACACCGTTTTTCGGGAATCTGACAGCTGTCACGTTCGGTCGAGAAAACTTCGTGGAGGCAATCGCTAAGGGATATGATGCGTTCAAGGATCAAAGGTAAAGTGAATTTACAAATACGTGTCGATTCAGAATGTATGTATAAACGTTTTCCTTAGACGAATCGTAGTTTTTGATTCGACTTTGATGTTTCGGCTTTTGCGAAAGACAGCGGAAGATTTCCGTGCTCTATTTCGGATTGTTTGATTTTTTTTCTTAAATTATTACAATCAAAGATTGTTACGTAGCTTATTACCTAGTTGGTAGGATCTCTTGTGAGTCCGCACGGACAAGTACCACCACCCTACTTATTTCTGCCGTGAAGCAGTAATGCGTTTCGGTTTGAAGGGCGGGGCAGCCGTTGTAACTGTACTGAGACCTTAGAACTTATATCTCAAGGTGGGTGGCGCATTTACGTTGTAGATGTCTATGGGCTCCAGTAACCACTTAACACTAGGCGGGCTGTGAGCTCGTCCACCCATCTAAGGATAAAAAATAAAACTTAAATAGACTCTCTATTTTTTCCATGAAAGCAATTAGCACTTTTCTTACTGTTTGTAAAAGCTTAAGGAGAAAACACTTTGGTTAGGTATTTTAAAACATGACTGGTCAGCACTAACTCAAAAAGCTTTAGAGTTTTCCCTGTCTGTTCCTAGTTGGCTTGTCTCAACGTTCACATCATAGTGATCACTATTTTCACGAACCTCCACCTTTATTTTCGGGACCTGGATTAGTATTAGGACATATATTGGAGCTGCACACACAACTGTCCTTTTTTTTACGTGGGGAATCCATTTACGGATACCCGGTCGAGGGGGGTAACAGACCGGGTTATGTCGGACTCCGGCGCCTCCAGAAAAGAAGAGGGAGAAGAGGAAGACCGGGGTCCTCCTTCCTCCTTCCAATTCCTGCCGGGAGACTACGCCTTGAGAAAGGCGCGCGAGACGCTGCACGGCATCAGCCACGCAAGAGCTACCCCGCAAAANTTTTACGTGGGGAATCCATTTACGGATACCCGGTCGAGGGGGGTAACAGACCGGGTTATGTCGGACTCCGGCGCCTCCAGAAAAGAAGAGGGAGAAGAGGAAGACCGGGGTCCTCCTTCCTCCTTCCAATTCCTGCCGGGAGACTACGCCTTGAGAAAGGCGCGCGAGACGCTGCACGGCATCAGCCACGCAAGAGCTACCCCGCAAAATCGACTACCGACTAAACGCCATCGAGCTCCATCACTCCGACTCCACGGAACCCACGGTACCGCACAGTGCGCGCCGAAGGTTCGCCGTCGCCGGTACCCGTCCTGACAGTAGGATGGGATTCCATCCCCGGGAACACACCACTGCCCTAAATTCCTTATTCTGGAACCTCAGAATTATTCAATTAACAAACCTTGCATTCGAAATGACATATGCGTGTGCGATATTCACTCACGCAGTCCGCACCCGCGTATGTGACTGACCTTGTAATCCCGATTTTTATGGATAGCTGTGGAAGCATCGTGATAAGCTTCACAACCATCTAGATTTCGAAACCATACATAGGTATTTGAAGTCATACAACGCTACTTTTGACACTATAAGCCCTGTGGCCATCGCTAACTAAAGCCCTCATCCAACTCACGCTGGAGCCAGTAACTGTTAGCCCCATATAGACGTCCTCAAGGCTCCACCACCCGATCCACTCTCAGTGGTGTTAGACGCACTAACACTAGCCTCAATCAAAGTACTAGTGACCATACTGATCGAAGAATTCGAGGAGATTTACAAAAACTGCTGATTTGAAATTTCGTTTTAATTTGACTCTTGCAATGGAGTTGACAATTATTTTAGGAGCAGCGCTCTGTCTTTTTAGTTTATTTATTTATGTGATTTTTAGTCGTATGACATGACAAAACGGATGCTGGGTCACGTGTTGTCAGTGAAGGATATCATATCATGAATGTCATCACCTACATTGTGGGTATTTATGTGTGTCACTATCAAACCTATTTCTGCCGCAAAGCACTTACAAGTTCCTATTTGTCGAAATCCCCATTCGTACAATAAAACGAACGTCTCAATGTTGGTGGTTGTGGTATATTATGCATCACCACTAACCGCCATATAATACGTGATAAACTTAAGCAATCCTTAAATCGATATAAACGTACTCGTTCGATTGCAGATATTTCGGTCTGTATCAATACTTGGTGCCGACTCTCGTACCTCGGGATCCTGAACTAATCCGACAAATCCTCGTGCGAGATTTCAGCGCCTTTGCCGATAGAGGAGTACACATTGACGAAGAGTGCGACCCACTTTTCGGCCGGAACTTAATAATGCTCAGAGGTACACGTTCAAGCTTGTCTAAAAAAGGGCTTATGCGAGGATAGGGTTGGTATAGCTGTAACTATCATCGTGTTCTAGTTCCTTGTCTTATAAAAATCCAACCGTGAGGTTAGAATTATGCTTATATACAAGCCTGAACCCCTTCTCTTGCTCATTACTGGAACTCTCTCGCAGCTAATTCCTTTCCGGCGTTTAGCCTCTAGCATTCTACCGGCCAACTTAAAATCTGATAATTCTTGAAATAGCTTTGAGATTTTCACCTTAAAAATTATGATTTTGTACTATTATTGACATTTATTGTAATACGCTGTCATAGATTAAAGAATAAAGCATCTGAATTTTTTTATATTTTTTATTGCTTAGATGGATGGACGAGCTCACAGCCCACCTGGTGTTAAGTGGTTACTGGAGCCCATAGACATCTACAACGTAAATGCGCCACTCACCTCGAGATATAAGTTCTAAGGTCTCAGTATAGTAACAACGGCTACCCACCCTTCGAACCGAAACGCATTACTGCTTCACGGCGGAAATAGGCGGGGTGGTGGTACCTACCCGTGCGGACTCACAAGAGATCCTACCACCAATAAACTTAAATACTTATAACGCGACGCAGCTGGTTAGGCCTGTACCATTTTTTCTAAGCATTTGCTTGACGTTCTTAATAGATACATGAATTATTTCCGTGAATTACATCGTGCATCGAGTGGTCAACATTTCAAAGTAGAAACGGCCTTCAGCAATGAAGAGACCGACTCAGAAGAAGACCTAAATGCGACCTAATCATGACGTTGTCACCACTGTTCTATTATTTGACGGATATCTTCTATAATATTGTGTTCTGCTGTATCCATAATATAGTATAGTTCTATAGTATAGTAACCTATAACCTCTCCTTGTGTTAGCATCCTTTCGATATAAGAAGGAAAGCTATCATTCCTGACAGCATATCTTAACGTGTGGCGGCATTACTCATTTTCTCATGGGTACCGGAACCATAAATACCAGGCAAACTGAAGTACACCCAAACCGGTGTTTTCCGAGCGCTATGACATGTCCTTCTTCAAACGAGGCTTGTGGAGATTATTAAGCGGTAGGCAGCAGCTTGGCTCTGCCCCTCGCAGTGCTGAAGTCCATGGGCGACGGCAACCACTCACCATCAGGTGGGCCGTACGCTCGTCAGCCTACAAGGAAAAAAAAAAAGAAACACAAAAAAAAACCTTTTTCGTAAGATCAGGTTCAAAATGGCGAAGTATGCGAGTGGCGCTTTCTCCGGCGTTCTCCGGAGCCCGATGTCGTAACATGGCACCGTTGATGGTGGAAAGCGCTAAGTCTGTCACAAACCACCTCCAGAAAAAAATAATTGACGAAAAGGTCATTGACATTAATAACGTAAGTTCTGAGTGATAATTTTAGATTATTTGTAAGAAAAATCGGGTCTGTTCAAGTAACATATCATGGAAAGTAAGGGGAAATCGTTTTAAAGTCACGTAGTGTATGACAATTTTTTTTTAAATCGTATTGCTTATCATTACAAAAGTTCGAAGTTTCATTAACCATATTCTAGAGTTAAGTAGTACAGCGATACAAAAAATCTGATAGAATCATATTAAGCTGTAATGACTATCGGCGAAAAGGAATGTTTTGTTTTCCACCCAACTCCATATTTCTGTCTTATTTCAGTCATTCGTCCGTCTGGTGTAGTAGTAAGTGACATGGTCACTACACAAGGGGGTCGCGGGTTCGAATTCCACCAAGGGAAGATATTTTATATGTATGATAAATATAAAATGTCCTTTCCAGGGCTATGGATGTATATTATGTATGTGTATAATAAAAATCTTACATTTATATCCGTTATCTGGTACCTGTAACACAAGTTCTTTACGAACTCATCACGGGACCAGTTAACGTGGCGTGATTGTTAGTAAATATTTATTTATTTATTAATTATTCCTCCTGATCTGAACAAACGACATTACAATGCAACTAAAACATCGATAGGCGTTTTGATCATATGCCCCTCTCCTTATCCGCATTTTAAACCCTTCGAATAAAATCGGTATGCTTTTAATCAACAAGTGAAAGTAACCTTTATGCAGAGCGTATAAATTTCATTTTGCCCAGATAACTATGAGCTACGTGAATGACGTCATAGCATCATGCGCCTTCGGCTTCGCGGTAGACTCTCTGAAGGAACCAGACAACTGCATCTACAAGCTTGGTCAGAAAGCGATAATACAGGACACAACGCAAGTGATGAAGTTCTTTGGCTACGAGAACATTAAGACTGTTATGAAGGTGAACCCTCTTTTGGGATACATTTTAGGGATAATAAAAACACAGAAGAAAACCTCAAAGTCTCAAATCAAATCAAATAAAAAAAAAATATTCAACATAAATGAAAGTACATACTTGTTGAACGTCAAAAGAACTACCGCCAATTCACCCGAACTAGCCTCCGTCCTGAGAAGAATTGGCAAGAAACTCAGCGGGCATGTCTTTTTTTTTTAACATTAGAGATATAATTTTTTTTTTTTCAATATAAGTTTTTTGTTAAATATTCATTTTTATAATGAGTGTTATAACATCACAATTATTACAATATTGAAATACCCGGAGCGAGCAACTCATTCCCACTTTGTGCAATCTTCTCAATTCCTCAGCTGTCCTATCGAAAAATTCGTACAGAGCTCTCGTTGATATTAAAACATCATTTTCATCTTAATCAGGGGTTGAAAGTGAAAATCATCGCGACTCAAGAGGCTGAACAATTTGGTCTACTCTTCAAATCGGCTCTGAAAGCTAGAAAGGAGAAACTGGTGGAGCCGAGACCGGACTTCATACAAATATTAGTAGACGCAATGCAAGGTATGCTTATATACGAGTTAGCTAACTAGAATATTATCACCTCATCTCTTCCTGTGAGGACCATGTAATAGGCCACTAATGAATTGACCGGAGAAAGGGAAACAACATTGCTGGAAGGAGTGCTCTGAGGAATTGTTCGAGATGATACCGTCATCTCGTTTTTACCATCGCACCGCCCGCCACCGGAGTAGAGTTCATCCATACTACCTGGAGCGGCTGCGGTCATCCACAGTGCGTTTCCAGAGATCTTTTTTGCCACGTACCATCCGGCTATGGAATGAGCCCTCCTCCACGGTGTTTCCCGAGCGCTATGACAAGTCCTTCTTCAAACGAGGCTTGTGGAGAGTATTAAGCGGTAGGCAGCGGCTTGGCTCTGCCCCTGGCATTGCTGAAGTCCATGGGCGACGGTAACCACTCACCATCAGGTGGGCCGTATGCTCGTCTGCCTACAAGGGCAATAAAAAAAATAAAAAAAAACATTCTCCGGCAATAAAATTCAATCAATAACCAATATTTATTAATTGTGATGTGTGTTGTGTACAGGTAAGTATCAATAGCTTATTTATTTCTCCCGAGAAGCCATCAGGTATTTCAGTTTAAGGTGTGGAACGGTTGTTACGTTGTTGTAATTAAAAAAAAATACAAAGCTACGTATAAAACTAAAAAAACATGGCTCCATTTTTGTTGCATTTCTATTGTCATTGATAACGTATGGTTACTGATAACCATTTAGTAGTGAATTGGTTGTCTATGCACAAAAAAAAAATAAAAAATAGTTAGGTACCTATTTAATCTCCTTCGTGTCATAAATTATAACGTGGAAATTGACCATTCGAGGGAATTTAGTGCCTGTGCCTAGAATTCGCAAAGCCTGTGCCTATAAGCCGTGTAATAGACAGAAAGGATAAAAATGTTACCCTAAACAACTACGCGCCAAATTATCAATCTCAAGCTGAACGGATCTTTTCTCGAAAAACTTCTAAAAAAACTGAACTTCTTTTTGACGAAAAAGTTTATAACAATCTATTTATTTATACTATAAACTATTAAAATCCTTTAATTTCTAACAGGCAAAGGTGACGATGACAACATCTCTTCGAATTCAACAAACGGTAAGGTTCATTTGAAAATTAAAAGCTATCTAATAATAAACAAAAATGTGTGTCCATCGCTGTATTTTTTTTTTATTGCTTATAGGGGTGGACGAGCTCACAGCCCACCTGGTCTGAAGTGGTTATTGGAGCCCATAGACATCTACAACGTAAATGCGCCACCCACCTTGAGATATAAGTTCTAAGGTCTCAAGTATAGTTACAACGGCTGCCCCACCCTTCAAACCGAAACGCATTACTGCTTCACGGCAGAGATAGGCAGGGTGGTGGTACCCCCCGCACGGACTCACAAGAGGTCCTACCACCGTATATTTAAGACTTTAATTTAAGAGCATTTATAAATAGCCATTTAAAATGATTGTGCTGTGAATTTAGCATTGATTTTTGTATTTTTTTAAGCCGAAAGTTTTTATTACGTGCCCTTTTTTTAAATACTTTAGCGATTTATCTAAAATATGTGAAAATAAGCTCAGCATTAAAAGGGTTAAATAGGCACAGAGCACGCGTTCACGAATGACTTCAGCCAAGGAGAAATAATATGAAAACTGCCATAGTTGAATAACTTTTCATCATTTTGGTTGGTAGAGGATCATATTATTATTATTATAATTTTGTAAAAGTTTATCTGCATGCTTTAAACTAATCAAGTTTCACTGATACTTAATTTTTACAACAGAAAATATAATTTTCTAAAAATTACCTTGTTAGCGCCGTGCGAGTGAAAACATTCGTATACATTTTTTTTTTTTTATTTCTATAGATGGATGGACGAGCTCACAGCCCACCTGGTGTTAAGTGGTTACTGGAGCCCATAGACATCTACAACGTAAATGCGCCACCCACCTCGAGATATAAGTTCTAAGATCTCAGTATAGTTACAACGGCTACCCCACCCTTCGAACCGAAACGCATTACTGCTTCACGGCGGAAATAGGCGGGGTTGTGGTACCTACCCGTGCGGACTCCCAAGAGGTCCTACCACCAGTACATACACATCACTTTGAATGACGCCTTTTTCTGTTTCCTTTAAACATTTTTCATCACTGGTTCGAAAAACGACTCGAGTAAGGTGATTTCTGAACAAATCTAAAACAAACTTAAGCGTTGAAACAACACTCAGATCAAGATTAAATTTTGATTTCATAGCCTGATAAAATTAGAAAAATTAGCTGTGCCGACCCCACATAGTGGGATAAGGTGGAGAAAAAGAAGAAGAAGCCTGATAAAATTGGAATAATTTTTGTTTAACTATTAAACCATACACTCGCATTAAAGCAGTCAAACGACGCGGATAAGGAACGCCGACAGCAACAAAGCCCTGAATAACAATAATTTTAATTTGTTTTCATACATTAACCGATGTTCGAAATGAAATGGACGTGGCATTTCCCAGAAACTGTACAAACATTATTTAGCTCAGTTCTCTAACATAACCTCTCACATAACATTTTATAACATTTATTATTTTATTTTCATAACATTCTATTTAGGTTAGGTTGCACGTCGAACTCTTTGCCTAGTTCGATGAGTACGGTTACTGGAGTCCCAAAGCCTGCTCCTAGTGTTAGAGCTAAATACATACCCGATTCTGTGGACCGAATGGAGTAAATTATCCCATAGACACAGCAGACTGAGTTTCTCGCCGGATGTTCTAAGTGGGTCGCATTTCCGATCCGGTGGTAGATTCTGCGAAGCACTGCTCTTGCTAGGGCCAGTGTTAGCAACACCCCCGGTGTGAGCCCCGTGAGCTTACCTACTAGCTCGGTGAATCTAATCAGAATAACCCCTCGAGGTTACTAGAATAGGTAGGAAAAAAAAAGAGCTAAAGGCGCAACCCTTGCATTAGAATGCAAGGGTTGCGATCTTCTCTGGTGGGGATACATTGTAAATTCGTACGGTCGGATACTATCATTCCACTCATTTATGCCAGAAAGTATTCCTTTGTTCTAAAACAAAGAGTAGAACAGCCTTATTACAGTACTATTATGGTGTAAGGCCCGCCGAGGTTCAAATCCCGTACAGAAGTACAATTTTTGTAAAGAAACACGTGGCTAAGATTATGAAGAAAAAACAAAACACATAAATACAAAATTTTTTTGGCTTTTCGATCAATTTGGGCTTTTTGAAACTTACTCTTTGGGGTTGTAATACACGTCCAGAAGTAAGCTCATATTCCCTCAATCATTATTTTACTCAGCACAAAATTGGTGCGTCCATTATTTACATATTCCTTGTATCGCACGGTACACGTCAGAGGCAAGTTGTGACGTTGATTGACGTGACGTCATTTTATGTAATTATGAAAATGTTCGTGGTTCATTATTGTTTGAAATTATTTTAATACGCCTACGAAGACATTGTGTATTATTATGTTGGTATTTAAATTTATAATTTCAAAACTTGCTTTTTAATATTATCGTTGAGCATATTTAACATTCAACAGAAAAAAGTATGACTTCGTTTTGAACTGATCCAATTATTTGTTTTCCTTTGATACTTTTTCTATAAGTTGCGCTTCTCATTCGGCATTTGAAAAGACCTCTTAGAGATTCTGCCTGCTACAGCCGCGAAATAATCGTGAACGGCAAATAAGCTATTAACAATTTATAATTGCGACTTCAGAATCATGTCTGAACCAGTACCCCGTTATGCTGGATAGACTTTACGCCAAGTGGACGGTGTGAATGTTCACCTATATACTCAATAAATAAATACAACTTATAATTGCTTCTCGGCGGAAATGTCTACATGGAACCACTGCGTTCATACCCATTTTTTTCCTCCTCCGTGCGTCGTATTCCTCAGTGCTGAAGTTCGTGACCGTTACGGTGCCCTTTTGTTAGGACTATGTTCCTCCATTCACTCCTGCCCTCCGCGCAGTGGATAGCGACATTGATGCTGGATTCCAAAGCGGACCAGCGCATGGGACTACGCCCCCAGGGCGTGAGGAGACGCCTAGTTCTTCCAGGATTGAGGCGTTTGTCCGATGCGCCGTCCAGGGAATCTTTTTTTTTTTTATTGCTTAGATGGATGGACGAGCTCACAGCCCACCTGGTGTTAAGTGGTTACTGGAGCCCATAGACATCTACAACATAAATGCGCCATCCACCTTGAGATATCAGTTCTAAGATCTCAGTATAGTTACAATGGCTACCCCAGCCTTCAAACCGAAACGCATTACTGCTTCACGGCAGAAATAGGCAGGGCGGTGGTACCTACCCGTGCGGACTCACAAGAGGTCCTACCACCAGTGATAAAATTCTTCTGCAGCATTTCCCTCCAGCACCACATCTCAAACCCATTTTTTTTGCCATGGGCCACGGTAACCACTCACCATCAAGTGGATCGTATACTCATCTGCCTACAAGAGCAACAAAAAAAAAAAATGAATTTCGAAATTTGAAAATTTGTATTATAATATAAAATATATTAACAATTACAAATTACACAAAATTAAATATACATTCATATTAATACATTACAACTGACAAAATTATTAGTTTTCTACAGCATTCACAGATGACGACTTAGTGGCCCAAGCGGTTTTATTCTACGTGGCGGGCTACGATACGACAGCGAACTTAATCAATTACTTCCTCTACGAAATGGCGGTGAATCCTCATGTGCAGGAGAAATTAAACCAAGAAATAGCAGAGATGTCTGACGAAGGAGATGTATATGAAGCGATCCAAAGGCTAAAGTACCTCGAAATGTGCGTTTGTGGTTAGTTGACTTTCTTGTTGTTGTTGTTGTACTCCTATGGTACTGTTACATATGCCCCTCAATAATAACGAAATATAAATAATAATGCAGACTAAGGTATTCCTAAATGCATCGTCTTTATATAAAGACGATTTATTGCTAAAGCGTGGCCCGCTCACCGTCCTCGCCGAACCCGTCGCTTCCGACGAAGGGCTCGACGAGTAAATGAACCCATAGTAACGGCCCACTGAGTTTCTCGCCGGATCTTCTCAGTGGGTCGCGTTTCCGAGCCAGTGGTAGATTCTGCGAAGCACTGCTCTTGCTAGGGCCAGTGTTAGCAGCACCCCCGGTTTGAGATAGAAAAAAAGGGTTAGAACAGAATTGGCTTGAGTAGCGGAAACACACATCGTTTGTACTATTTCTTTTATAAAATAAACTCAGTGTCAGTCACAGTTTCCTTTTTTTTAGAAGAGCTCCTGGATCCATTCTGCAACAGTACATAGGGCCCTCACAAGTACATAGGGCCCTCACAAGCTGTCTCCACTTGACCCTGTCGTGCGCTTGCTTCTTGACATCACTTTAGGTCACGTCGGCTGATTTCTCTCTCCACCTTAATCATCATTTTTTCCTAGATAGATGGACGAGCTCAAGGGCAACCTATTGTCAAGTGGTTATAGACATCGACAACGTTGATAGCGCCACCCACCTTAAGATATGAGTTCTAAATCGCAGTTTTACAATACAACGGTTGCCTGATTCTTCATACTAAAACCCATTACGGGGCGGGTAGCGACACCTACCCATGCGGGCTCACAAAGCGCCTTACCACAAAAAATCGTAGAAATCAGCAGTGATTATAACAAATTGCTCATTTACTCCCAATTTTGATTTCGTAGGCAGATCAGTAAATGCGCCACATAATAGTTAGTGGTGAATGCACCGTCATTCTTGCACATCGACAGTACCAGAGGTCCAGCCAATTCATCACAAACCTCTGTTTCTAAGCCTCGTTTGAAGCAGAACCTGTTTGAGTGCTCAAACAACTGCGTGCTCACGATCCATTACTTTAATAGAAACGCAGATTTCAAATATTTCTCCAATGTGCCCACAGCTTAAGATATACCAGTGAAATATTATTTCATAACCAAGTGTATAAAAATAAGCCTTTAAAACGTTATAACTATATCGAGTGGTGAATGCTGTTTGGTTTAAGGGACATTTCTCTCAATACGCGACATTTATCTTTGTAATTAAAAGTGCGTTTTATTAAGTACTAGCTGACCCGGCAGACTTCGTAGTGCCTCAATCGATAAATAAAAGACCTAAACTTTTGTATAAAATAAAGTTAAAACAAACAAAAGGAATCCATCCGATGGGGGGGACATCATAGGAAAAACAAAATTGTTATTTTTATTTAATTCCGAGCATTTTCATATTTATCTACCTTTTAAACCTTCTCTGGACTTCCACAAATCATCCAAGATTAAAATTAACCAAATCGGTCCAGCCGTTCTCGAGTTTTAGCGAGACTAACGAACAGCAATTCATTTACCTACATATATATACTAGATGATGACCGATGATAACGCCATCTTGTTGTGTCTTTAAAGCGATTAGTTGCCCTCAATTAAGAAAAATAGTATTATTATTCGCCAATAGATGTCGTTAAGAGTTGATTATTGAAAACACGAATAAAACAACATTTTCTGAAAATAAATCGTAGCTAGATCGATATATCGCCCCCGAAATTCCCTGTATACTAAATTTTATGAAAATCGTTGGAGCCGTTTCCGAGATTCAGATTATATATGTATATATTAATATACAAGAATTGCTCGTTTAAAGGTATAAGATAAGATAGATTAGCATCAACAGTTCGATGTTTGTAATTGAATTTCAATTAAGTTAACTCCATTCAAATAGCTCTGCTTTAACGTTGCAAAAATGTCGCCTCAACCAAATAATCTTTCACCCCTCAATATATTAATAAACGTGAATAAAATATATAAAACCAAGTATATAAAGTATATAAAACTAAAACTGGTTGTGCACCATTCGGTGAATGAAGGTTTGGATCTACATAATATAAATTTTTACAATGTAGGCCTAAACGCAGTAACGCCGGTCTAATCTGGTGTTTTTTTTTAATTCTCATTATATTATATTATCCGAGGTTACGTATACATACAGTATCTTGTGGTCACAAAGGATCAGCCATCATAAAGCCGAAAAAGTAATATTAATTATGTTTACGACTTGCAAAAACCGAAGAATGTACCATAAGTTTTTTTACTTAATTTCAGAGGTCCTACGACTCTGGCCGCTGGTGGGTTCCGCCGATAGAAGATCAGTAATACCTTACGATTTCGGCCCCACGTATCCTGACAGCAAACACAGTCTGATCGTAAGTATAATGAACAGTTCTTCAGAGTGCTATCGTGTAGTTGTCGTCACGAAAATTCATCGTCTCTCAAAAGAAAACACATTAAAACGCGCATAATGAATAATGTTTTGTATGAAGATAAACAGGGTAGGGTGTAACTTGAGCCCACACAGGATCTCCTCAATCCGCCTATTTTTATCCCAAACCAAATCTATATATTAATACGTGAAGCAAAAACTTTGTATCCCTTTTTACGAAAATTGCGCGGACGGAGGAGTATGAAATTTTCCACACTTATAGAGAATATAGAGAAGAAGTGCACAATGCTAATATTTTTTTAAAATAATGCGTAAAAGATACATTTAATCAATAGAGAAAACTTACACACACTACATACCATGTATTTGACGCACTAACGCATGCATACTATTTATTGTCAAACTTTTGTTCTTGACGTCTGTTGTCAAATTGAGATTAAATATTGTTTGTCTTTGGTAATATTTTTTATAGTGTAGTCTTGGCGAAATTTGTGATTATAGAAGTATAAAATACAATCATAATAGTGTACAAACTTACAATTCCAATTAATTATAGTCGAATTTCGACTACTGCGGGACCTCTAGTTGTAATTAGAATGAAAAATGACGCAAATAGAAATTCGTCCATACGTCTAAAACATTATAATCCACGCAGGCTCCAGCGGGTATCCACATATGGATACCGATATATTCCATCCACCGCGACGAGCAGTACTGGCCCGATCCCAACACTTGTATTCCGGAGAGATTCTCACCAGAGAACAAAGGAAGCATAGTTCCTTACACTTACTTGCCATTCGGGACTGGACCTAGGCATTGCATTGGTGAGCTATTATGACTCACATCAAAGTCATCAGTAAAAGAAAATACATTTTCCAAAAAAAATAGAGAAACAATTATTCTTTGAATGATGCCATTCTTTTTATTTTATTACTTAGATGGTTGGACGAGCTCACAGCCCACCTGGTGTTAAGTGGTTACTGGAGCCCATAGACATCTACAACGTAAATGCGCCACCCACCTTGAGATATAAGTTCTAAGGTCTCAGTATAGTTACAACGGCTTGACTCGCTCCTGGCATTGCTGAAGTCCACGACCGACAGTAACCACTCACCGTCAGGTGGGCCGTATGCTCGTCTGCCTACAAGGGCAATAAAAAAAAACTACCATAGGAATACTACTATTGTTAAACTGACCACATCACTAATCATCATATTATAGCTTACTTAACTATCTTAACTTAACTACTTACTTAACTATCATGTAACTTACTTGAGACCTTAGAACTTTATCTAGGTGAGTGGCGTATTTACGTTGTGGATGTCTATGGGCTCCAGTAACCATTTAACACCAGGTGGGCTGTGAGCTCGTCCACCCATCTAAGCAATAAAAAAAAAAAAACATCACTCTAATCACCATTTTTCGCTTCCAGGATCACGTTTCGCTGTAATGGCAGCGAAAGTGTTTTTGGTTAACTTCCTAAAGACATACAGAACCAGAACGCATCGAGACAAAACAAAACTATCGCCCAGGGCGTTCATACTGCGGCCCCGTGACGGATTTGAACTCACAGTTGAACGCAGGATTGAGGATGACTAAATAAATCACGTGACAAATTGATGCATGATTCCTAGACCTTAGTGAAAAAATTGTCTCCGTCTCCGTCCGATTTTTTTATTTTTTTTTTATTGCTTAGATGGGTGGGCGTGCTCACAGCCCACCTGGTGTTAAGTGGTTACTGGAGCCCATGGACATCTACAACGTAAATGCGCCACCCACCTTGAGATATAGTTCTAAGGTCTCAGTATAGTCACAACGGCTGCCCCACCCTTCAAACCGAAACGCATTACTGCTTCAAGGCAGAAATAGGCAGGGCGTTTTTTTTTTTTTTATTGCCTTTGTATGCAGACGGGCATACGGCCCACCTGATGGTGAGTGGTTACCGTCGCCCATGGACTTCAGCAATGCCAGGGGCAGAGCCAAGCCGCTGCCTACCGTGGTACCCACCCGCGCGGACTCACAAGAGGTCCTACCACCAGTAAAACCGATCCGTGGATCTCATGATACGGGTGGGAAATCTTCAACTAAACGATTGTTAAGGTTCACAGATCACCTCGCAACAAATTGAAAGACTGAAATATCCGTTCAAAACATTGACGTGTTACTAGTACTTGCTACTCTTTAAGACTGGGGGTTAAGGTTTTTTTATTTTTTATTATTGCTATTGTTTAGATTGTAAATTGATTAGATTGTATTCTTCTACCCACTCATGTAAAGCTTTCCTACGTTAAGAACGGTTAGCTGGTAGAAAACTCAATTGTTGAGTTAAGCTCGGAATTTTTATATCTTATCGCAATTACTGTAATATTAACTGTGTGTAGGTACAATAAAGAATAAAGAAAGGAATTATTGTTAAAAAATTGTTAAGCGCAAGCGTTAATATTATATAGTTGTTAATTTGGAGCCTATGGGTCTACGGAGGGACTTCGCTTCTCTCTGTATTTTGTACCGTATCTTCCATGGAGAGTGCTCTGAGGAATTGATTGAGGTGATTTCACCATCTCGTTTTTACCATCGCACCGCCCGCCACCGGAGCTCATCCATACTACCTGGAGCCACTGCGTTTATCCACAGTGCGTTTCCAGAAATATTTTCAGCCACGTACCATCCGGCTTTGGAATGAGCTCCCCTCCACGTTGCTTCCTGAATGCTGTGACATATCCTTATTCAAACGAGGCTTGTGAAGAGTACTTAACGGTAGGCAGCGGCTTAGCTCTGCCGCTGGCATTACTGAAGTCCATGGACGACAATAACCACTCACCATCAGGTTTTTTTATTTTTTTTTATTGCTTAGATGGATGGATGAGCTCACAGCCCACCTGGTGTTAAGTGGTTACTGGAGCCCATAGACATCCACAGCGTAAATGCGCCACCCACCTTGAGATACAAGTTCTAAGGTCTCAAGTATAGTTACAACGGCTGTCCCACCCTTCAAACCGAAACGCATTACTGCTTCACGGCAGAAATGGGCAGGGTGGTGGTACCTACCCGCGCGGACTCACAAGAGGTCCTACCACCAGTAAAAGGTAGCCAGAGGTAGGCCGTATGCTCGTCTGACTACAAGAGAAATAAATAAAAATTTGAATGCACACTTAGACACAGGCCATTGAGTTTCACGCCTGATCTTCTCAGTGGTGGTAGATTCTATGGGGCACTGATCCAGCTAGGGCTAGTGTTGGCAAATTTCGGTTGAGCCCGTGAGCTCACCTAGCTACCTGGCATAGTTGGAATAGTCCTTTAGCCTATGCAAATAGATAGAAAATTAAATGCGTATGTGAAATATTTTTTAGACGAAAAGAATCTTTAATTTCGGTTTCAGGGTGGCTTTTCCTTCCACTAAGACCCACGTCTTGTTATAGCTGACAAGTAACGGCTACTATTCATCATTTAGTGTGCATTGTGAATAAACTAGTTACCATAATAAAAATAATACTATCTATAAAAATACAAAAAGGATTGGTTCTGTAGTCATTATTATATCCGACGTTGCGAATACTGGAAGTTTTCGTGATCACAGACAATTAAGGTGCTTGCTATTCGTCGATAATATTCAAATTCAGACGTCAATATTTAAATTAAGCTAAGTACAGTATAATTTTAGATTTTCTTTAAATACCGATTAAGAGATTAAGCAGAGATGTAGAATGTAACCGAGATGGAGGAACGGCGGTGTTTTTAGTGTTTTAGTGTGACGTCAGCATTTCTGACATTCTTGCAGAGTTCTCGAAGGTTCTAGAGGGTCTCGAAGGGTCTCGGAAATTTGACGGAGTACCCCTAATGTATTGTGCGATAATATTCATTCGTACTTATAGTAGAAAAGTGAGGTAGCTACGTCATGAAATCACTTGAATACCTTCTTAAAAAATTGTTTACATTCGTAACATTATGGAAACAGTTAACTTTAACTAATCAGTTAAATTGAGTTGTAAATAGTAACGTTGCGCCGATATACATATGTATAGTATTTTTTGGTTTTCAGGACGGACGACGTAGATATTGTAGATAATAGCATTATGTACCTACATATTTTGCAAAGTTTGAGGTTATATTGAATGAAGATTAGATTGATAGACGAAACGAACGTGTTATATTATGGAAAAATATATAAATTTACGGTACCCTAAAACGTGATCGCAATGCGAGCTGCATTTCACAGTTTCAACAAAAAAAAAGACAATGGTATAAAAGAACGCGCTGCTACCGTCTACTTCAATAACGCTATATCCATTATGAAATTTTAATTAGCACGTGCTCGCATCTAATTATCTCGTTTATGAATAAAATTTTGTAGTTTTCGAAAATGATTTTTATTTTGCGTGTTTGAAAACTTAAAGTGTCTATTTTATTTATTGGTGCCGTACGATCTGTGTACAAAACTCCAAATCACACGATTTGGAGATTTGTGATGATTCCGTCACAACGCCAACTTTTTTTTCCCTTCCTAAGCTAGTGGTCTTGAGAGACCATTTTAGCGAAACCTTATCAGCTAGTAGGTAAACTCACGGGGCTCAAACCTGACGACGTTGCTAAAACTAACCCCAGCAAGTGTAGTGCTTCGCAGAATCTACCACTGGATCGGAAACGCGACCCACCGAAAAGATCCGGCGAGAAACTCAATGGGCTGTATGGGTTAGTTTACTTGCCGAGCCCTTCATCGAAAGCGACGGGTGCGACGAGAACGATGACCGGTGCTTGGGGTACCGAAAAGCACCGTTAGTGGATCGGATGGATCCGAAATGGCGTGTTTTAGGCGACGTCGACATATAAGAGACATACAAGAGTAAAATTTAACTGGCGACAGATTCGTTACGGCTAGAGAGAAAAGATACAATTTAGGACGAGCGAGAGTGAGAAAATAGACAGAGCGTCTCGCGAACCACTCGACCTTGGAGAGAAGCAGAGACCGAACCAGTGAAGAGGTGGTTTCTCTTATACACAGCAATTTCTGTTAAAATAGAAATTTGATTTAAGGATGAAAAATGAAGAAAAGTACAATACTACACACCGCAAAAGAAACTTCACTTCCTTAAAGGCGTTTGCACGCGCACCGTTTTTATTTATATAAACTCTTGTAACCATTTCACACTAGGTGAGCCGAGAACTCACTCCTAGATTTAACCAATAAAAAATAATTAATGTTGAGTGACATTTCAGAATGGCTGAACAAAATCGACTTTTTTTATTACTTTTATCACATATTTTTTAAATTTACGAAACGATCACTAAATCATAGATAGCCGTTTAAGGATAACACGCTTTAGAACAGTGAAAACCAGAAAGCAGTGCGATCGACATCATTGATAGGCCGAGCGGATTACCGCGTTTTCAATTTAATTAAACTGCAGCTTTGATACGGCCGAGCTTTCGATGCACTAATTCAAAAGTAAAAGGGCTTAACGGAATGAGCGTATATTTTTTTATGATTGAAAGATCACTGGTAGCCCAGAGGCCTTTCCAGTTTCACCAGGACAGGTGGGCGAGCAAAGTCTCATCTCACCAGGAGGGGTGAGATTTGCTAACAATTACCCGAGCACTTCCGAAGGAGACCTAACAACTCAAGAGCAATTGCTCCGCGAATGAATCTACTACCGGATCGGAATCGCGACCCGCAGAAAAGATCCGGCGAGAAACTCAGCGGGCTGATGCATAGGTTTGGTTGCACGTCGACCTCTTTGTCGAGTTCGACGAGTAAGGTTACCGGGGTCCCTAAGCTTGCTCCTAGTGTTAGAGCTGAAGACGTCTAATGCATATCTTTTTGTGAAAATTTAATACCTCGTTTACTGCTTTATAGCATATGCTGATTGATATGGGGCTAAATTCTATAATTAAATTAATACATTATAGGTTCGAGTAGCTATTGGATGAAACTCCCTATACCACCAGTGCTCAAGACCGCATTAAGATGAGTCACATCTATACATATAAATAAAATTACATTATCTGTTTGTAATATTGAAATAACCGCTTTTTACTACATAGGTACATATTAATATATATACGATACATACACTGAAATACATTTTTTACAATTTTTTTCTCTCTGTCTGTCTGTTTGTTCCGGCTAATCTCTGGAACGACTGGACCGATTTTGACGGGACCTTCAGGTAGCTGATGATATAAGGAGTAACTTAGGCTACTTTTTTAGACTAGCTTCGCCTCGCGGCGTCATCCGCGGTACGACAATAACCGCGGGTAACATCGCGGGACTCAGCTATCAATAATAAAATTTAATGTTTCCGAAGCGACGCGAGAGCGGGTCGCTAGTCATAAAATAAAATGAGTTTAATAGGTAACAGTTCCCATTGTACCTTTAGTTTTAGCATAGTGTTCTCATGCGTTCTGGTTTGGAAGCACGTCGTAACAATCGTAACAATGGTAATAAGAGTTCAACCTTATGTTTAAAAGTTGACAATGCCGTTTACTTTGTTTATCAGCTCTGGTTAATAGTACTAGTAATAGTATTTATCAGAGTCCATAAACACCCGCAAACAGTTACTTTTTTATGTTTTTTTTTTATTGCCTGACGAGCATACGACCCGCCTGATGGTGAGTGGTTACCGTCGCTCATAGACGTCTGCAATGCCAGGGGCAGAACCAATCCGCTGCCTACCGTTACCTACTTAATAGCAACAGAGCCATAAGCTCGTTCAGCCTATGCAAAAAAAGAAATAAGTAAAAAGTGCTGATGGACGTTTTTCCTTTACTACTGAGCTGGCGCTATGACCCCGAAGTGGGTCTTGGCCTCCGACAATAAACTTTGCCATTCATCCCGGCGCTACGCAACACCTTGCCAGTCCGACACTTGGAGCTCCCGTAAATTTCCTTCCACGGCGCCAGACCAGCGGTACTTGGGCCTCACTACGGGGCGGCGTCCCTCCGGTACACCCGTGTACACCCGTTTCACAGCCCGATCCTGCTCCATACGCACTACATGCCCGAGCCATCCGAGCCTCCGTGCCTTCATCTCCCCCAGAATATTTGGCTCACCAAAAAGCCTCTCCACATCCTTATTTTTCCGGACGTGCCAAGAACCGTCTTCTTTCCGAACTGGTCCTAGTATTTTTCTCAATACCTTTCGCTCCGTCACGAGAAGTTTTGCCTCTTCTTTCTGTGTAAGCGTCCATGCTTCGCATCCATACAATAGGATAGGTCTGACTACAGTCTTGTATATCCGAATCTTGGTGCGCCTGCTTAGTAGCTTCGAAGAGAGAACCGGGTGTAGGGCTGCACTGCATCGTAGGGTATTTTGTATACGAATTTCGATTTCATCTTCCCTGTCATTGGTGTCTGTTACAGTGCAGCCAAAGTACGGGAATTTACCCACGTTTTTCCTTTGACTGTCCAATTTAAAATAACTAAAACCGAGGACATTTTGGCGGGAACATAAGGTGTGAATTGTTTTATTTTGTTTATTTGGTGTTTCTTCAGGTTTAAAGAAGAAACAGTGGTTTATTAATTGTTTAATATCTGTGAAAGCACAAATGTGAGAAAATGAATCAAAGCCGATGAACGCAGCTTCTCGGGATCCTCCAAAAAGTCCACTGAGAAAGTTTCAGTAAATCCCATTATTTTACTGAGATTATAAATTTCATCCCATCATATTTCATTATATTTCATCATCTCATTTCATTTCATTCCATTTTGTTTTCATTTCATTTCATTTCATGCCATGTTTCATGTTAATCAACTTCATTTCATTACATAATATCATTTTACATATAAAAAATATATAAAAGATCAAGGTGTATGGTATGATACCTTTGCCTTTCCAATTGGAAAAGTAAAACTACTACTATTGTTTTTTGGGGAAGCTTAAACGACAAAGGAAAGATCTTCCACCGAGCGGGTGAAATTGCTCGGTAGACCGACGCCGACGGTCCAAAACTACTACTACTACCACCAGCGTGACCAGATTTAGTAGATTTCTGCTTTTTTGGTAGATTTTGAGGTACTGGCAACAGAATTTAGTATGTAAAAATTATTTGGTAGACTTTAGTAGAATTCACGCTTTTCAGTTATTCTAGTACTTTTTTGGCATAACGGACAAATTTGGGATATTCCCCCTTTCATCGAATGGATTGTAACTATTTAATTTTCATTCTTTTCTTTACCATTCGCGCCTTGAGCATAGTGTGATAGACCAGTGGGAATTCCTTCATTCAGAATTTTTATAATCGAGCTTAAAATTAAACATAAATATACACAAGGATATCGCGATGTCCTATTCATCACGATATCCTTGTAGTTGCAACAGAAGACATGCAAATTGTTGACAAAGAATATAGGGAATCAAAATTAGAGGTTTCCGTGTCTAATTTATTGTCAACTTCTAGTTCGTCGTCTGAAACTTTTATGGTGGATAAATTTTGGAGTGCAGGCAGCCAAATCTGTGATGCGAATAGCAAACCAAGGTATGGCAATTTGTCCCGATTTGTGAAGCAAATGACGATACTACCTTTGTCAAACGCCAAAGTAGAAAGAATAATTTCTGATATTAATAGGATTAAAAATCAAGATCGAAATCGATTTAATAATAAGAATATTGCTGCAATCATGCATGGAAAAGAGGGGCTGCGACAGTTGATGTCGCACATTTAATCCTGACAGAACTTTTATCAAGTTAATGGACTCTTTATGTAAATGTTACCCAACATAAAGAGAAGAATTTTAAGTTTAAGTTTCATTTTATTATTTTAATTTTTTAATTATATATTTATTTAGAATTTAATTTAAAAAAAAGAACATTGGTCTCTTTAATTAATTGTGGTTTCTTTTTATTATTTTATTTATTTAATCAAGAAGATTCATGTTTTTACATAGTAACACGACAGCAAAAAAAGTAATAGATTTTGAGTAATACTCATTTTCTATTGGTAGAATTTAGTAGATTTTAACCTCCACAAGCAGTAGATTCGTCAAATAAAATCTGGTCACACTGACTACTACCAGTCTGACATAAATATTGGCGGCAATTGCCGCATTTTACTAGGGGTACGGCAGGACTCCGTACTTCTAAAAGTTCTAAATTCCCATCAAAAAGTAAAGTATTTTACTCCACTTTTCTATAAAGTTTCAAACCGAAAATAATTATTGTACTTTTTCCATACTCAATCAACAAAAAATCAAATGTAGTGTATTTTGATTAAGAGCAAGTGTGTAACTTAGAGATAAGCTAAAAATAAATTTTACAAATATCCAATATGAACACTATTAGCAAGACAGCTCGTATCGTACGCAAAAGACCTTTTAGAGTGTCAATTGAAGGAAACATAGGATCTGGAAAATCAACATGTATAAAATTCTTCAACAAGTTTCATAATGTTGAACACCATACTGTAAGTAGACCATATTTTCCTACTTATTAATCTTCGCAGCTGGGACAATTACCATATATTTGAGACTCAGCCATAGTCTCGAAAAAGCGCGTGTGTTCTGGCAGTAACCCAATACCAAAAAACCCAATAAAAAAAAATAAAAAAAAACCAGGTAGGACTTCTCAACTGTCCAACTATTTTCTTTATTGCTTTTGTAGGCAGAAGAACATACGGCCCACCTGATGGTAAGTGGTTACCGCCGCTCATGGACGTCAGCAATGCCAGGGGCAGAGCTAAGCTGCTGCCAACTAGCAAAAAATGCACCAAAACAACTCTCAAATTGGAGTTAAGCTTATTGTTGAATAACTGAGCTTCCCATCTAATATTGATAATGAAGAATTTAAAGCAAAGTTTAATAAATAAATATAAAATTGTAATTCCCAGGAGCCTCTACATGAATGGAGAGATGTTAGTGGCCACAACTTACTTAGCCTAATGTACAGTGATCAGAAGAAATGGATCTTTACATTCCAGCACTATGTACATCTGAGTCGGCTTAAAATTCAAACAAGCCATCCTTGTAATTCTAATATAACAGTTAAAATGTTTGAAAGGTGAGATGTATTACATTAATGGATGCACTCATAGTTACAATTAGTCAAGGCATAAAAATAGAAAGAATGGTTACCCATATATTGAGGTCTACAGAATACAGCTTTTAAATTGATTATGTCTGAATGTTGTCAGTTTTGGGAGTTATTAAAATGGAATATTTTTTGTATATAAATGAGTAGTCATTCTTAGCAATCTTATTGATTCTTTGAAGCAATTAAACAAATCTGTTTGTGTTTTGCTTAACAGTTGTCAACCGCCAAGTTTGCCATTCTAAATCTCTAAAAACACACTGACTGGCATACGCATTATCAAATTTAATTTTTTATCAAAAGTAAGAGTAAAAGAACACAGCTAATCAACTTTTCCACCTGATCTTAACAGTGACACTGTTGAGAAGAATCTTTCTCAAGTAACATCATCTTTAATCACCAATTTTTTTTTCTTATTTCTAAGAAACATAATGGTTTTTTCAATCTTATTATGTATAAGTGTAATATTTGTATTTCCTCCTTTTATGGTATACACCAATTTCTTATAATATTCCACAGATCAGTTCAAAACAGTAGATATTGTTTTGTCGAGAATGCTAGAAGGCAAAACTTTTTAGAGGACCCTGAATATCAAACATTATTAGCTTGGTATGACTACACTGAGAAGTGCCTCGATACTAGCCTAGACCTAATTGGTGAGTTTTTTAAAAACCATGTTGTGGGATTTGTATTAATTTCAACAGGAATCTCCATGTACTAAAACATAATATAATATATGACATATGTGCTTGACATTTCTGTCTACATTTAATAAACTTTCATTCAAACTGTCTACATTTAATAACGTTCATTCATTAATTTTCAGTATACTTGAAGACATCGCCACAAGTAGTGTGGGAGCGTGTAATGAGACGAGGCAGAGCTGAAGAATCTGAAGTTCCTTTAGAATACTTACAACAGGTACTTACTTAGAATACTTACATTAGAATACTTCCTTTACAATACTTACATCTGAAGACTACAACCTTTTACACTCGATAGGTCATGATAGTGGTGGTGGTGTTATTTTTTTTTTTTTTTTTTTTATTGCCTTTGTAGGCAGACGAGCATACGGCCCACCTGATGGTAAGTGGTCACCGTCGCTCATGGACGTCAGCAATGCCAGGGGCAGAGCCAAGCCTTATTTTGGTGATAGTGGGTCACCTCTCAAGTACAAATGGTTAACATTTTTACTTAATCAAGTTTTTTATTTACACAAATGAATAGACCTGCAAAAGGTATTGTCAACTTGACTAGCAAAAACTATAAAAGTGCATTTTTAATCTAATATAGGCAGTTCAAATATATGTTCTGAAGCTAATTTTTATTGCCATTTCTGAGTTACTTAGTTGAATGAGTTTGTAAGTGAAATGACTGTGAAACTTACACAGCATGTATATACATATATATATATATGTTTAATAATCCATACTGTTTCAAAGTTGTAGGTATTAAGAAATAAACAGCTGTTATACTCCTGTTCCGACACATATACAATAGCAACTTAGATAAAATTATTATATTTTAAATCAACCTCACTGATAAAATATTGAAAATCGAATTCCAGTTTTATTTTTCAATTCTCAGGTTCACGACTCTTATGAGTCATGGTTGAATTCCGAAGTTGGCTGTGAAGTTCTGACGATAGACGCTGATAGACCTATAGATCTAGTCAAAGAAGACTTAGATCGATACACATACAAAATACTGGGTGGAAATCATACAAATTAATTGACTTGTACATAACCTGTGATTGTTAGATGGTTTATGACTTTTAAAATTTTTTCAACCTATACAACTTGACAACAGTATGATTTGAAATACTGGTTTTATTTTAATTTTAAATTTAATTTATTATTGGTGCTAAGGCATTTTGTGAGCCCACATAGGTAAGTACCACCACCCTACCTACTATGCTGTCAAGCAGTAATGTGTTTGGGTTTTTAAGGGTGGGGGACTGTTGCTGTACTAAAAATTGAAACTTAGACCGCTTGTTTCAAAAGCTGACTGCATTTATGTCATTAATGTTTATGGGCTCCAGTAACCACTCAACACTAGTCAGCCCATGAGTTCATTGACCCATCTAGGTAATCATGATTGTTTAATGGTGTTTGAATCAGACCATTTCATTTTATTTAAAAATAATAATTGAAAACGTAGCAAAAGAACACCAAACAGCTGAGTTATCTGCTTATATCAAGACTATTTGAAATTTAAGTCTAAATAAACATTTTGAATTTAACTCTCTTGGTGTATTCAGTATTATTATTGTAAGCATTAACGTTATGTAGTCTGTTTGTCAGATTTATTAAATATTTTAAAGGTTGGTTATTATTGTAGATATAATATTTCTAAGAAAACTGTTTTTGAGTTCTTAAATTTTAATTATTACATAAAACAAGCATTCAAAATTGTATAAAATAATAAAAAATTAACTTCAATATACTGCTTTTATTTATCACAAAAACAATAATAATTTATTCCTACATGCCCTTATTTTGAAATCTGTATTATTAATTAAATGGCAGAGTATTGTTGTGCTGCTAACGCACATTACTTGGCACCAGTGTACACTCCATAAATCTTTGTCTTTTTAATATTGCTGTTACTTTACTGTACCAATATTGTTCACATTCACAAAAACATTATAAATAACATATAAAAAAAACATCCCACAAAAAAAATCAATTTGGTCATACATTAACAATTATCTATTTATTTAACATGATAATATCCAATAGTATTATATATTAATACATGTGATATTAAGTTACTGCCATTTTCATAACGTGCACTCTTGTTAGATTAATACATTTATAAAAGCCTTCTGAAAATTTAAAAGCAGAACTGTGCAATTGTGTAAATTCTGAGTACATGTTGAAGCTTATTTCATACTCATTGCCTCTTAATTAACATTTTTTTATTTGATGCACTACACTACACTTATACGTGATATATATATATATGTTATAAGTACATCTGTATCTTGCAAACTAGTTATCAGAATATAGGAAATAAATTTCACCGCTAGGAAAATTAACTAGTCATATTTATGGAGGGAACCCGTGTTCAGCAATGTTCGTACCGCTGCTAGGACCAAAATTACAATGACTACTTACTAATTGCTTTATTCACTTGATCATAAATAATTAATATTATACGTAATGTAACAATATTATAACAATACAGATCACAAAATTTAACTAAATTCACTACAAAGTAACTCAACGGTACAAATGATCAGCTCTGATGTTGGATGCGATCTCACTCTCCCATTTATCGCCGTTCGACAGAAGTTTCTCCTTATTGTACAAAAGTTCCTCGTGTGTCTCTGTTGAAAACTCGAAATTCGGACCTTCCACGATTGCATCAACCGGACAGGCTTCCTAAAAATTCATAGTACACTTTATTTATCAATGTTTATTCCAAGCTTATGTCCACAATTAAATGTTTTTTTTTAACCATTAGGTATATGTGCAGACGAACTCAAAGCCTCTTAACTGTTTATCTGAGCCCACAGATATCACCACGTGAACCGTGACATGCAACCAAAGTCCTAATCTTATTGTGTAATTACTGTCTGAACCAGTACAATCAAAATGTCCTTTCAATTATTAAGAACATTGAAGCTACAGTTTTAATTTAGCTAAAATAACAGCAGGAGCATACACTCCTCATTAAAAAAGAATAAAGTTATGCAGAAACTTAACATACTTGACAGAAGCCACAATAGATACACTTTGTCATGTCAATATCGTATCGAGTGGTTCGCCTCGAACCGTCCTTACGCTCTTCTGCTTCAATCGTGATAGCCTGGAAGTTAAAAAAATGTAAATTTAACAATTCAATAATTTACGTGTTATTCGTTCCGATATCGAGTCGAGGGAACGCGCTCTCGCCCCCGTCACGTTACAGCCGGAGTCCCGCAAGGCTCCGCCCTCTCCCCGTTACTGTTCAGTTTGTATATCAACGATATACCCCGGTCTCCGGAGACCCATATGGCGCTCTTCGCCGATGACACGGCTATCTACTACTCGTGTAAGAAGAAGTCGTCGGCGACTTCAGACTGCAGCTACCACCATGGGACAGTGGTTCCGGAAGTGGCGCATCGACATCAACCCCACGAAAAGGACAGCGGTGCTCTTCAAAAGGGGTCGCTCTCCGAACACCACACTGAGCATCCCACTCCCGATTAGGCGCGTCAACACTCAACACCTCCGCCATTCGCTCAATCACGATGTATGACCAACCCATACCATGGGCCCGAAGGTCAAATACTTAGGCGTCACCCTCGACAGAAGGATGACATTCCGCCCCCACATAAAGACGGTACGCGACCGTGCCGCCTTCATACTATGACGCCTCTACCCGATGATATGCAAGCGAAGTAAAATGTCCCTTAGAAATAAGGTGACACTCTACAAAACTTGCATACGCCCCGTCATGACCTATGCAAGTGTAGTGTTCGCTCACGCGGCCCTCACTCACTTAAAATCGTTACAAGTCATTCAATCCCGTTTTTGCAGGATAGCCGTCGGAGTCCCGTGGTTCGTCAGGAACGTCGACCTCCATGACGACCTGGACTTAGGAGTCCATCAGTAAGTATCTGCAGTCGGCGTCGATGCGCCACTTCGACAACACCAACATTACCGCCAAACATTAAAGCAGATTATTTTAAATGACATTGTTATTTCTAGTCATTTGTAAAGACGTAATTTCAGTTATGTATTTCTTCAGAAAAAATATTATTAGATATGAGACTTACACACACAATACATCCTAATAATATAATTTAGGCCTCCTAGGCTTTGTGTGTTTATTTTTTACTATCAGTAATCTGAATATATTTGTTTTATGTTTATCACCATAAACAAAATGAGAACAGTTTAAAAATATCAGGTAATTCCAAGAATTATTTATAGGGCGACTTTAAAAGCATTAGTATATAATTTTTTTTTTTATTCCTACCTATGCTGTTAGCCTTCAGCAGCTATATCAGCGTTACCCTAGCGTGTAGGTGAGCTCTCAGGGCTCAAACTGGAGGTGTTGCTAACACTGGCCCTAGCAAGAGCAGTGCTTCGCAGAATTTACCACTGGATTGGAAACGCGACCCACTGAGAAAATTCAGTGGGCTGTGTTAAGCAATAACTGAAATATACAATATGAATTTTGTTAATAGTAACCTGTGCTGGACAAATGGCTTCGCACAGCTTACAAGCAATGCACCTTTCTTCTCCTGAAGGGTAGCGACGTAGAGCATGTTCACCTCTGAACCGAGGCGACAGTGGCCCTTTCTCAAATGGATAGTTGATTGTTGCTGGTTCCTGAAAATTTTTGCCAAATAATGAACATTTCATTTCTGCCTTTTTTATTTGTGTTGCCAGCCTGTGACTAATGTTCGTAACTGTAAATATCCTATCTGCTTTAGCGGTAAGCATATAATTGCACAACACCTACATAAAATATAAAGCACTTTATATTTTAAAAATGCTTAATAATTAGACTTTAAAACAGAATAAATTTGCTATGGGTCATTTCTATAGAATTAACATTCATGATGCTTTCTTAATATAATGGATACTGAACTTATTAAATTACATAGAATTTTGGGCCACGCCACCCTCGCCATTTCTGTAACATTATTTTTTTAATTCAATTTTGTCTATCACAATATGGCTGCATGTGATTGACTTACATATTCCAATAATCTAACCCCTCTAATCTAATGTAATAATCAAATGATTGCCCCATTTGGTCACTTTTCGGTTTTAATTAAGGTGTTTAACATTTGGAACTTAAGAAAAATACTCCTAAAATGTTTAGCTACTTGAGCATTTCTGCCAAATTTAAGAATCAAGATTTCTTGATTCATAAAAAACAGAAAAGTTATTCCCTAATGACCCTTACTCCTAAATCTGAATATTTACCTTGAAAATATGAGCCAAAGTAACAGCAAATCCTCGGGCTAATTCAGTCCAGAACATTGTCTGAGCTGCTCTATCTGACATAGCCCTGAAAGACATATCTTGTTCCTCTGCATTCACATATTTATATCCAGGTATGTTCTGTGGGTAAACCTTCTCAACATTTCCTTCTGATGATGAGCTGTACTGTGCCCGTTTCACTATCACACCACTAACTCCTGATGCTCGTACTTAAACCATTAAATTCCGGATTAATGTTGACTTTATTTATTTTAGAATGTTAATAAAATAGGATTATGAGAATATATTATTTTGTAATTAATTAAAATGTCTGTTTTATCCACAAAAATATAGATTGAGGATTTAGCTTCTGTTAAGACAAAAGAAAGGTAGCTATCTTTTCTACTGCGTAACGACGCATTACCATAAATTTTAGTTTAGATTATTTTATTTTAATTTATTTATTATAGTTATTTTAAATTACTTTTAGATTTATGAAACATAAGACAGATATTGTTTTAATGAAATTAAATTGAGTTTTTTGATTAAAGCCTCATTATTACACTAAGCTTGCATATTTAAAAAAAATAACTAATTTAGTGAAGTGTTCAAGTCCGAATGCAAAAAAAATGTCTAATGAAGTGGACATTCTGCTTGATCAGCTGGTAAATTGACAATTAGGTTATATACAATTGCGTAACAAAAAAAAACACTAAAATCGAAAATTAAGAAGCTAAACATTCTTTTGTATATATTACCTCGTGATGAGACTGAAAATATCTTTGCTAAAGACATTTTCTCATTAAATTAAGTGGTTTCTTTAGAATTAACTGAGTTTATAAACACTAGCCGACGGCCGACTAGGTTGGTACTCTTGGTACAGATTAGGGTCGACATGAATCGATTTAAAACGATTTTATATTTTGATTCATTTTGCGATACTACGATCTCCACTCTGATAAGATAGTATTCTCTCAAAGTTTGTTTTCAGATTACCAATCCTAAATTTACACGGTTATTTTGTATGTTTGTATTTTCGTTGAAGGACAGGTCCTCAATTTAATAAGGTAGTGTTTTTCCAAGTGGTAAAAAATGTATTGTTGTTGTTTTATTTATGATTCCTTATTTTGAATTGATAAGTTTTTTGCTTAGTTATCAAATAACGTTAAATATTACACAATCAGTAGTTACTAATTTTTTTTTAAACCGTGCGAAAATAACTAAATTTCTCAAACAAATATTAACACCAAAACTATAGAAACAAATGAATTTTTATTCACTTTGTACTTAGTTTAAATATACGATCTCTAACAGACCGATCCCAATCGTTAATCGATTTAATGGATACCAGAAAAAAAGTAAAAACAGTTGTAAAGTTGATTCATCCCTATTACAAATTGAAGTAACGTATTGACAGTTATTTCTTCGCTTACTGCAAAAGGCAAAGGGGAGATACACGGCTACGCCAGTTCAAAAAGTGTCGTAGAATTAAACCCAGTGCATTTTATTTTTCATTCAAACTATGAAGATGTGTTACTTAAGAAAAAAATATTCATGCAATGAATGTGGTACTTAAGTATTTCGGTTTTAATGACATAAAACGCAACAAAAAATATTATGACATCCAAGCACTTCATGACTTACATCAGTTATAATGGTAGAAAATGCATTCCGTTTAAAAAACTGTGTACACGCATTGCTTTGGTAGCGCTGGCAGCACTACAAGCCCCACGTCAATTCAGTGCCAATGGACTTTGTATCCGGCTAATAAATAAATTAAAAAAAAAAAAAAAAAAAACACGTCAATTCAAAACGCAAAAGTCAAAATCCAAAACATTGAGTGACGTTTACAAATTCTTAGTTGGTGTTATTAATTTTGCGAAAAATTCGCCACGCAGCATGGGAGATGCATCAGCTTCGGACACCGAGTCCAATAAACCTAGTCCTATCAACGAACCATATTTAGAACTGGTATAAAACCTTATTTTAAATATTATTACCAATAGCACTAAGTAGACGACGGATGCTAACATTTTTTAATTACAGCAGGAGCGGCGTCCCTTCGGTGGGCTCGAGTTTCAAGTATCTGAAGTAGTAGAAAGGCTCGAAGCCGGGGTTAATGCACAGGATGCTGCCGATGACGAGAAAAAGCGTGAACCGCGTAAAATCAGTACCGGCTTTTTTGAACCCGAAGAAACACCAATGGATGAAATTCTGAAAATTTTAGAGGAACTAGTGATCAAGACCGACCCTAGTTGTGAGAGCTTAGAGCCTCCGCTGTTGCCGACGGATGCGGTGACTCGTGCGGCCATTCTTTCTCATAGTATTTCAGCATTATTTGGTCGCTTAGAAAGAAGTCACGCAGCGCGCCTCGGTGCTCACATAGCAAGCGAAACGACTCGATGGATGGCTCACATGTTTAGGTGAGATGGTTCTGATAATATTAAACAGTTATCATTAATGGAATAGTGCAGTTCCACTATCAGTTGCCTTGAGTATCAATTACATTACAAGATTAGAATAACCTGTGAAATGGCTTAAAAAATGAGTCATTCCATTTTTAATATAGACTTTCTTACCTTTAGACACAACACATTACTAACTGTAGGTACATTTAATAGGAAAAATTGCATAGAGGTTCTGGTAAAACAAAAAAGAAAATCTTATTAAGTCCATTGTTCTGTTCTGCTGTAACTCTTCTTAACATAGATAATAGTTTTTAGTTTTACATGCAAATTGATAGAAATGATTTTGTTTTTGAATTTTTACACAACATTAGGTATGTGATGTATAACATACATGTTAAGATAAGAAAATCAATACTTAAAATACCAGAACTTAGTTCTGAAAATATAATTTTATTGGTACAATTTTTTTTTTTGTTGCCTCTGTAGTCAGACGAGCATACGGCCCACCTGATGGTGAATGGTTACCGTCGCCCATGGACTTCAGCAATGCCAGGGGCAGAGCCAAGCCGCTGCCTACCGCTTATTAATTTTAATTAATTAAAATTAAAGTGTAAGGTTTTTATTTTTATAAAGCTTCCTAAAAATCAGTTTAACAGTTCTTGTATTAAAACAAATAGTTTATGAGATTGCTTTGTAGATTTCCAACTGTTGTTAGCACTTCAAAGATAGTATAGTTCATCAACAAACAAACAGGCTTATTTTTTAAATATACCCTTAAATATCAAATCTAATCTGACTGAATGCAAGACTGCTTGGTGGCAGAAATATACAGGACATTCAGGTAGTGGTATTTATATGAATTCATATAATATGTGATTATGCAAATTTATTATCATCCATATCCCTTTTTCATGTAACTTGTAACAGGCTTCAATCTGTGTACAAAATACAATAGCTCTCATATGTGTTTGCATGCATTAATATTTGCCAACCTACTAGTAAGAGTGTTAGACCATAAAAGGCATTGACTTTAAAAATTTAGCAGCCCAGACTGCTTAAAAACCCAAATAATCCATTATTTTACCATAATCTAAACAGCTAGCTTATTTCATTGATATTCACGTACAAGATAAAACTTTATGTTCTCTACCATAATGACTTGATAAGAATTACTGTTATATGATTTTTCTAATCATAGATTAATTTTCATTGCAGGCTATCAGACTACAATGCATATTATCATCAAGAACAGCTTGAAGGTCTTGTGCGGGTCACAAGGATGCTGCTCCATCACAGATACCCTAGATATTTAGAAGATGGAGGTATGCTCTTCTATAATTTGCATGAGAATGTAATCTATCTATCTATCTTCTATCTTCTTCTTCTATCTTCTATCTTCTTCTTCTATCTTCTATCTTCTTCTTCTATCTTCTATATGTATAAATATGAATTGCTGTTTGTTAGTCTCGCTAAAACTCGAGAACAGCTGGACCGATTTGGCTAATTTTGGTCTTGAATTTTTTGTGGAATATATTAGTATTGTAAAAGGCTTCCAATAGCCATACCATTGCCTTAAAAGTAATGTATCTTCTATAACATCAACAATATTAAAACATATATACTATATACATCAGTATATAGCAACCATGAGCAATTTATGTAATGAATGTTCCACCGTTCAAATCTTTGTATATTGTACTGAAATGTGATGCCACAGAATTACCAGAGATTAGATAACCCATGAACTGCCATAGTTATCATGTTGTAAAGGACAATGCCCATTTTCTATGGGCGTTTGGGCCCCTAAAAAAAGTTGTCGCGTCATGATGGTTTTAACTTATTTTGATAGACAAAGAAATATCGTTTCATATTCAGAAAACTATTTTTATATTCTCACCCAGGTTTAAGAGAAATCTGTTTTTTTCTGCAGCTAAAATTAAGTTGTTAATTGTTTTTTTCGAAATCAATAATCGCTTTCACCATTTTCTACAGTATTAACTAAGTTAATTGTGGTTAATGTTGCTAGAAATAAGCCCTTACGTACATTTTATTTTTATTATATCCTCATAATAATAATAAAATGAAATGAAAATCCGGAAGCCGACAACGATATTGTTGTTGTTGTTTTTAAATTCGCCAATAAGCAGGCAGAGAGCGTAGCCTATACAGCCTAGTCTGTAGTAGTTATATTTTTTTATGTCAATAAAAAGCCGGTGTATCTCTTTTTATTGCTTTTTGGGAGTTTTGACGTCAACTCGATGAATAGCTCATTGAGTGAGCATGAAATTCCGCAGACCTTATAGCTTAAAAAATAATAATCAGTCACCGCTATGTTAGCCACAGTTTTATTCCAAGGCCTATTGAGGCCTTGGAATATGAGATTATTGAATCGTGAACAACGATTATTGACGTTTAATACACAAAACCGACGACCTGGTAAGAACCGCTGGGTCACGTTGGATGCAGGTGGCAACGGACCGGCCGCACTGGAGATCACTTGGAGAGGTCTATGTTCAGCAGTGGACAATGGACAGGCTGAGATGATGATGATGAATACACAAAACAACGCCCAATTTATATATTATACATCACAATAAACTATTAAAAAAACATTAAAATAAAACTTCAAGTGACGCTTCACTCGGGTTGCTGCCAAAACTCTCTGATCATATATAATAAGAATAGAGTAATGGTAGGCCATTGAGATTTTTACTAATGGAATAATTAATATCTAAAAATATTAAATAAAATAACTCATGGTTTTAAGTAATAATTATTATTACAATATATAAATATTGAATTGAACAAAAATAAACTAAAAAGTCTGAATTATAACCATTAGTTATTTTTTTTAATTTGTTGTTCAAGTCACAGACAACTCTTTCGTTTGGCAGCATATAGGTTTACTATAAGGCTGTATGGGCTAAGCCCTTTGCCTATTGGCGAATTTAAAAACTATGGCACTAAGTTTTGGGATGTTATCAAATAAGTAATTTATTTTTTTGTAAAACAATGCCAGGGCGAAAGAAATGTTGATACATAAACTAAACAACGTAAAAAAATAAGGCATAGTTTTTCAAGTATAAATAGTTTTGACATAAAGTTGGCCCACTTTTGGGCATTGTTCTTTAGTATCATAAAATTATGTCCATAAATAGATGAGGTTAAAGCTTTTACTATACAAATCTATTATTAAATCCATTTGGTCATATGGCATCCAATTGTGGGGCAATGCGTCATACTCAAATATTGAAATCCTTCAAAGATTTCAATCAAAAACGCTCAGGATGATAGTGAACGCACCATGGTATGCTACAAATGAAAGAATCCATTATGTTCTTGCCATAAGAAAAGTCAAAGATGAAGTAATCCATCAAGCTAAAGCCTATTGTGGTAGATTGGAAGCCCATCCGAATAACCTTGCTAAGCATTTAATGGACAACCAAATGACTACAGGAAGATTCAGAAGAAGAGTGCCTCAAGATTTACTAGATCTACTGTAGATTAATTGATATGGGCATTGTGCATGCACCGCCGAAATTGTTTCTCTCAAAACTATGGTTGAATGTCTTACGACAGCTTACAGTATAGAATTAATAAATAAGAAAAATTGATGATCAATAGTCAAGTACCTTATGATTTATAGATGTATTTTTTCAAAATTTTTTTTTAATAATTAAAGCGTTGGCGTTTGCAAATCGTCTACCCTGCATATACAGTTGCGTTGCGAGTCCGCTGGGGATCGTTCAGCATCTCTGCAGACAGCTGGGCTTACCGCTGGCTTGTGTTAGGCCAGTTCCAGTAAATCCTTCAGGTATAATTGCTAAACCAATCAGTAAATTGCTATATTTGCTAATCGAGTTGCAAAGTAGTTTTAAATGTATCAATAACTTGGTGGATGTACGGTTCACTTGGTTTTTTTCTTCTCGATCTTAGAGCCTACAGAGACTACTAGATATAATCTGGAACTGCTGCATTCATTGACATTGCGTTATCAAAGATCTTTTCTGCCACATAACATCTGGCTCTAGAAAGGGCTCCGCTCCACGGTGCTTCCCGAGCGCTATGATAATATGTCTTTCTTCAAACTAGGCTTGCGGAGAGTACTTAATGGTAGGCAGCGCCTTGGCTCTGCCCCTGGCATTGCTAAAGTCCTTGGCTTGGTACTTAAAACCAAACAAGCAGCAGTGAGTTTGTCTACATTTCTACTCAAATAAAAATAAACAAAAGATGCATTTAAAAAAGTAATGTTTTCAAAATGACATTCTTCAGTAAACATTGGAATGTAAACAAGTTCTTTAGGTTTGTCTGTTTCACTATTTATTCGTGAATCAGTCAGTACAAGCAAATATGCAAACTGTTATTGTTAGATGTTACACGAAAGAAAGTGTTTAAAATGCGCTGTGCCGATCCCACCTAGTGGGGTGGAGACAAAGAGAGAGCGATATAAAAGGCCTTATTTCCAAAAACTAGTTTCATTGAAGCTAACCAGCGACCCAACACGAAATACAGTCCACTGCCCGATACAGAAAGATTCAGTTCCATCCCTTCTTAATTACAAACAAGTAAAACTTTTCTATCGACGTATCAATAGCTAGGCCTGTGCACATTATGTGTATTCTTGATAATAAATACTGTATCAATATTGTTCATCACTATTCTAGGTTTTAAGGTCAGATTTTTCAAGGTGAACCTTAAAAAATTTAACTCGATAATATTTACTTAAAAAATTACAATAGGGATCCTGATTAGATGGGACTTTTTAAAATTTTCATTCAATATATGAAATGTATCACTTTTAATGCTGAGCTTTATACGAACGCGCTTCTCAGTTTAAGAGAAAATATCGAATTGCCATTCATCACATGTGTTACAAAACAAAAATATGAAATTTCCGATAGTAAATATGCGAGCGAAGCCGCGGGTAACACCTAGTAGACCATACTATTGAGGAATGACACGTTTTTTTGTTTTTGTTTTAAAAACCACCTTCAACATAATAAAACATTTCTTATACGGATAAGGTCGAGGAATGGACATAGACGCGTTAGAGAGGCTATGTGACGAGGACGTCGCCGCCAATCGCACCCCGCTGCTGGTGCTGGGAGAAGTAGGAGCTCCGCCCCTTGGTTGGGGCACTCCGCTGTACACCCTTGGTGAAATCTGCGCTAGAAGAAACCTGCACCTACACGTCAGAGGGCACGCGTTAGCCTTACCTGGTGCCAGCCTGAAAGAGCAGGTCAGTGGGTCAATGAATTAGTAGCTGCTACTAACTTCATACGTCCGACTTCCCATTCTGCTATTCAATGCAGGGAAGAATAGCACGGATACCATGATATTCTTTGTGATTCGCGGCATTTCCATATCAAATATTGGTCCTGATACCCAACCCTTCTTAGTCGTGGTACATATTGAAAAATACATATGAGGCCATCGGTGCAAAAGTAGCTTAACCCACATTTTTTTATGTTCAAGCTTATATGACGTATATTGGAATTTATTTATAATATAATAAATTTTGATGCGGCTTATCCATAGTTTCACCCATATGAACTATTTCACAAATAGCTTTGTAAACATTATTTTTGCGCGTAATGTATTTTGGGTACTAAAATTAAAATTCATGAAAATTCAAACCTCAACTGCCTCCATACTAACTATGGTAAGCTTAGGCCACTTTTGCGCTGACGGCCTCATATATAATAGGGTTTCGCGGAAGGATTAAGTTAGTAAATATGATCCGGATGCTATTAAGTCTGGTGGATGCGGTGTTCGCTGGAAGAGCACTTTTTTTGGGCGGGGGGGGGCGAACCTCCTACGAGGTCCTCGCGCCTAGGTGTCGCGCGGGGTATGTGGGACTGAACGATCCGCAGATGCTGGGAGTAGACCTTGAGCCCAAGGATAGTATTTAGAACATTACCCACAAAACGACTTTCTTGCACTCTCGCCCAAGCGTCCGACCCCCCCCCTGAGGTCAGAACCCGGGCGAGGTTAGGGGGTTCCCCGGGTCAATACGGCAACCGGAAACCTGGGACGCGCAGTAAAATTTAATGTTTTTATTTTTTATTTATTTATGTACACACAAAAAAAGACAGTACAGAGTAATAGAAAAATTATGTACGATAAAATATTTTTATTACTAAAATATTTTTATAAAAAACAATAAAATATTTTTATTACTAAATTATACACTCTTGGATAGAGGTGCTGATTCAGACCAGGCCCCGAAGTGTAACGAACAAGACAATCAGTGCTCATGACTCCTGCCGATGGAGAGTTTTTTTTTATTGCCCTTGTAGGCAGACGAGCACACGGCCCACCTGATGGTGAGTGGTTACCGTCGCCCATGGACTTCAGCAATGCCAAACCGCTGCCTACTGCTAAAAGTGTCGCCGCTCAATCGCTATGTATTGTACGATATTGAACTACTTCATGCAATTGTGATTTCAGACTTACAGTATACCGGACTCGTTGACGCTGACTCCAGGACCGTGGTTCGGCGTGCCGGGCCTGCCTACTGTCGTATCCTTTCTAAAGCGCCCTAGGTCATCAGCCCATCATTGAAATGTATCCAGCTTGCGTTCTGAATATCATAAACTACCCTTAAATTATCGGTACGTGAGGTATTACATATATTTATTCAGAATGTATTAAATACGAATATTAGGTACGAAGAAACACTTTATAATGCTTCCTATCTCATTTTCTCCCACGTTAAATCTTAGGAATTTATGTATGTCTGTCTCTTTTTACTGTCGCTTTTTCGTTTCATCGACTTTCGAATCACAATGATGCTAAAAAAGTTTTCACTTCAAAATTTAAAAACCAATATTTTCCCTATCGTAGACCAGACGTTTTACAAAATTCCAGAATCGGTAACAGCCAACGATCAATCTAAGGGTGTTAACGCGGTAAGTGAAGAATATTCAATTGTACAATAGAACTCAAGGGTTTTTTTTTATTGTTTAGATGGGTTGCCGAGCTCACAGCCCACCTGGTGTTAAGTAGTTACTGGAGCCCATAGACGTCTACAACGTAAATGGGCCACCCACCTTGAGATATAAGTTCTAAGGTTTCAGTATAGTTACAACGGCTGCTCCACCCTTCAAACCGAAACGCATTACTGCTTCACGGCAGAAATAGGCAAGGCGGTGGTACCTACCCGCGCGGGCTCACAAGAGGTCCTACCACCAGTACCAGTAATGGTTTATTGGATAACGCACAGAAATGTATTCTAGGCTGTGGATGGCGTTAGAACACTCGCCGAATCGTTAAAATTAATAAAATTTCATTTTAATATGATTATTATTAGTTTAAAAAAATTAATTGCATGCTTTTTAAGTTACCAAGAACGCTTGAAACTAACGCCATCTAGTGTCACGCGTACGATAATTAATTTGTTAGATAATCTGTGGCATAGTTTTGCTATAACGAAATAGAATTGATAGTAGTCTAGTTCTGGTCTAGTCTAGAGAGCTTAGAACTCATATATCAAGGTGGGTGGCAAATCACATTGAAATATGAGTTCTAAGCGCTCAGTATAGTTACAACGGCTGCCCCACTCTTCAAGCCGAAACACATTACTGCTTCAGGGCAGAAATATGCGGGGTGGTGCTACCTACCCGTGCAGACTCACAACACGTCCTACCACCAGTAATTACGCAAATTATAATTTTGCGCGTATGATTTTTATTACACGACGTTATTCCTTCACCATGGAAGTCAATCGTGAACATTTCTTAAGTACGTATTTCATTAGAAAAATTGTAAAGGAATGTAAATAAAGTTGTGGACGCGTCCTACCTAAGCTGATAGTCTTGAGAGGCTATTTCAGCGTATCCTTAACTAGTAGGTGAGCTCACGGGACTCAAACCGGAGTGATGTTAACACTGGCTCTAGCAAGAGCAGTGCTTCGCAGAAACTACCACCGATCGGAAACGCGACCCACTGAGAAGATCCGGCGAGGAACTCAGTGGGCTGTGTCTGTGGGTTAAAAGAAGTAGATTAATGCTGAGACTTTTTGGCGGGAACGCGAGGAGTGAAGTTGTGTGATTTGTTTTATTTTGTCTATTTAGTATTTCTTCAGGCTTAAATGTGTAATAAAGATGGTTTATTAATTGTTTAATATCTGTGAAAGTGCACAAATGTGGGAAAATGAAAAAAAGCCGTTGGACGTAACTTCGCGGGATCCTCCAAAAAGTCCACTGGAAAATCTCAGTAAATGACCACCATTTTACTAAGATTATATTTCATCCCATATCATTTCATCTCATCTTATTTCATTTCATTTCATCCCAGTTGATTAATGTCTCAAATTAATCATCTTCATTTCATTTCACTCCATATTATCATTTTTCATAAAAATAAGAATATAAATAAAAATAAGGCATGACTTAAAGGTCTTAGTTACCAGGTCATAAAATACCTAAAGAAAAAAAGATTGTTGGTGAACTGCTGAGTGCGTGCTGTGTACAGGCGGGTTCCCGGGAAGGCGCGGTGGCGGCCCTGTCGGGTCTGTGCGCGGCGGGGCGTGCGGCGGCGCTGCCGCTGTGGGTGATGGCCCGCGCGGCCGGCGCCCCCGCCCTGCACGCCGCGCTGCGGGCCGCCTTCCGCGCCGCGCGCACCGCCTACACGCTGGTCGCCGCCGCCGGCCTCACCGTGCTGGTACGTGACCGCCTAAACCTCCCTCCCTCCCATTATTCGTCTCCAAGTTTATACCGACTCAGGCGAAAAACCCTGCACTGAAATTTATATAACTGTTACCACCTGTTTAAGCGTGACTTTAAATTATTTCGTTTTTCTCTGAACTAACCACAAATCTCTGAAAACACGTTCGGATTGTTACAACCGCATTGACCGGAAAGCCTTAAAGCCTCATTTGAATAATGAGTTAAAATTTGAAGTATTTTGAGATTATCAATAAAATCGATAACAAAAGTAACAAAACTAACATTTGAGTGGTGCACAGAGTATATAAAAATATAGGCTTTAGTATCTCTGGATAAAGCAATAATGACGTCCTTTGAGTATTAATAAAGGCACACAAAGATTTCAAGATATTAAGTAATTAAAGGTTGTTTCATTAAAAAATAGTTTTTTGTAATCGTCGAGATAGCTTTTAATGAAAGAAAATAAAGAAAAGTTCAATATCCATTAGTATGGCGGACGTGAACATTGACGTCATTGTTCAATATGCTCTCTTACACGAGCTGTAATTTTGTTTATGGTATTTTAAAACGAATTGACGAATATTTCGATTTGTGATTGCGTGTCAGGCGGAAGCGACATGCGCTCCGAAACCTAAGTGCATTAGTGCGAACGCAATCATTAATACAAAATATTGCTTACAGAGCGAGCGTCCAGGCGGCGACGAACCACCGAACATAGACATAGTTGTGAGTATTAGAAATAAATAAAAGACTTTTTTATATTTTCATTGCTTAATTACGGGATCGAAGACACATGTTGTCTTGAAAGCCCCACTCATGTTTGTGGATATCAGAATCAAAAAGTCTTATCTACAGTAGGCGCGCGAGTTCATGTCCATCCTGAGGAATGCGGTAGTGCTGTGACCTAGTTAATTATGGTAATGTCGATAATAACTACCGATTTAGTCAACAGCTGTCAATTTGGTTTAACGTAACTTAAGGTAATTTTGCAATTTATGAAATAACATAAATGTGATAAGTATTAGTTGTTTATTTCTAATAGAGTTTTTTTTTAAATTCCAATTCAATCACTATCAAATGAAAAAAAAGTGTGTGTGTCCGCTCCGACGCACGACTGGAGTTTACTGGATATAAAAAATTAAACGAAACAATACGAGAAATAGTTCTATATTACGACAACACGATACACTACAGATTATTAACAAATTAACGAGACACAAAACAAACGACTAACAAATATATGAAAATACAATAATGAGAGAAACGCGCGATCAGTACGAGGCTTTGTGGCGGACTGCCGGCGCAGCAGCCCGGCGTCACCTGCGATGACGCATTTCGTGTGACATGCGCAATCAGGCGCATAACGCATTTCGTGTGACATGCTAGTACGATTTTGGTCCCCATAATTTTCATACCCCGGGCCTATATATGTAAATCGATTCTAAAGGAGTAAACTCCAAAAACAACCGACAGATCAGAGTCGGAATCAGTATGTATCTTTTTTCAGTAGGTTTTTTTCTATCTGAACTTGTTGGAAGCGGAGCAGTCATGGTTAAATAACACAATAGCGTTGGCGTAAATTTTCGATAAGCGCGCGTCACAACCGTCATGGACAACACTCGACTTAAGACAAATGCGGAGGGCGGGCGAAGGTGGGGCGAGCTGTTCCCCGCGCGTCGCCTCTGGCCCCGATGGACATGAACTCGCGCGCATACTGTACGTTTCATCCTTGTTATTGTTTTGAAGTTTCCACCTTAAACTTCAAATTTTCGATAAAGTTAAAACTGCGATTTGATAAATTGAATCGCCTTCCACAGGAGGCAGTTAGTCAAGCGTCGGCATGCGTCGCCTTCCAGTTCGCTCCGCCGGGCGCGGAGAGGCCGCCGCCCTACTACGACAAGCTGAACTCCTGGCTGGGGCAGGTTCTGCAGAGGGAGGCCGACATGGTATGTTCAACCTTACGGCACGACGGCATTATTAATTTATTTTTTTATTGCTTAGATGGGTGGACGAGCTCACAGCCCACCTGGTGTTAAATGGTTACTGGAGCCCATAGACATATTCTACAACGTAAATGCGCCACCCACCTTGAGACATAAGTTCTAAGGTCTCAGTATAGTTACAACGGATGCCCCACCCTTCAAACCGAAACGCATTACTGCTTCACGGCAGAAATAGGCAGGGCGGTGGTACCTACCCGTGCAGACTTACACAAGTAAAAAGTACAAAAGTAACCACACCTAGTCTGTGGTCACTAATGGCGTTGCGTCTAATACACATAAATGATGCCGTACCATTTCTCCCGACAGATAAGTATAGAGGTTTGCGAGACCGAGTCCCACGGCGTCGTCCTGCGCTACTGTCCGCTCGAGGGCTCTATCCTGGAGGAAGACAAGATAGAGAGCTGGTCCAGCATCCTGGAGGCGCAAGTTCACGTCCTACACGCGACCGTGGCCCTCAGGGAACCCTTCCAGCAGAGAGTCGAACAGAACCCTTGCTTGAGGCTGGTCCACGTGCCGGGCTGGGCGGGTAAGCTTTGCCTTAGTCTGGTATAACGCGTTAAACTGGGCAAATGAAAAAGAAGGCATGCTGCATATGGTAGGCAGCGGCTTGGATCTGCCCCTGGTATTGCTGACGTCCATTAGCGATGGTGACTACTTACCATCAGGTGGGCCGTATGCTCGTCTGCCTACGAAGGCAATAAAAAAAAAAGTGTTCCTTAAAAGGCTTCGTCAAACAGAATGCGTACTTAGCGCGCGTCAAAACGCTAAACTAACAGCGCGTTATGACGCCGAGATGTGCTGTACTATTTGGGTAATATACTGTCAAACAGAGCCCCAGCGCTAGCAGTACGGTAGGCATCGGCTTGGCTCTGCCTCTGGCATTGCTGAAGTCCATGGGCGACGGTAACCACTCACCATCCTCGTCTGCCTACAAGGGCAATAAAAAAAAGTTACACAACGCTCTGTCGCGGTGTTAGGACGCTTTGTCGTCAAGCGTTGTAATTTTTTACAAATTTACCTTATTAGCGTCCGAATGAACGTGAATTAAAATACTGGATAATGCCCGAAAAAATATAGAAAATACCCCTTGCTTATACATCATGCCACATCTAAATCACTCGACATCTTAATACTTTAAAATTTTCACACTGCTATCGAAATGCACTTTGATTTGGCGGATGATACGTTGCGTCAAGGATCGTTGGGTTCATTTGGTCAATTTGTGTGACATGAAAAGAGCGCGATGTTAAAACGCAGCGCTAAGCACGCGTTCTGTTTGATGAAGCCTTAAATGTTGCTTTTTCGCGTGTCAGCAGCTCGATTTTATTACGCGCTGGGGTTCAGGATAAATAAAAGTACTACCGAAGTATAAATTAAAAACTGTATTTATTACTTAGAACACTCAGAGAACGCTTTAAAATTCTGAATTCAATTTTTCCGCTTCGCTTCAGGTGATCCGTTCGCTGTTTTGCTTAGAGTAGTTCCGATTACTAACTGATTGCGTGCCATCTCTGCAAAGTTTTTATAGTCGAGATGACATCCCTAGAATCGTCGAGAACATTTCTCACAAGTCGAGTGCCTTCGATGTGTGTTTTCGCAATCTGACAATAGATAGCGTTGTACTTCTTGAGTGTTCTAGATGTTACTAGATCAAATCAAGATAATGAACAAAAAACATACACCAAATCTTAATCGAAATTATTTTTGATTCCCAAACGTACATTTCAGGTGAATAGTTCGTCTTCCCTCTAATCTAGATGAGGTACGTCGTGCCTTATGAGTTAAGACACAACAACTAAAGTTCTATTGCTTCCTAATATCCAACTTTAACAATGATATTGATTGTCCTGGAGAAAAATTAGCATTTGTTGGCTTTCGTGTCAGGTCTCGGCGGCGTCCGCTACGTCCCCCCGGGCTGGGAGGAGGCGCCCCTCGAGCAGCTCAACTCCCTGAACCGGCAGCTGGTGGAAACCCTCAGGGTCACGGACGGAGCCTTCTCGTGCGGCGACGGCGACGACCAAATGGCTTGCGTCAGGTCAATGGTTTTTTTTTTTTTTTTTTTTTTATTGCTTAGATGGGTGGACTTACAGCCCACTTGGTATTAAGTGGTTACTGTAGCCCATGGACATCTACAACGTAAATGCGCCACCCACCTTGAGATATAAGTTCTAAGGTTTCAGTATAGTCGCGACAGTTGCTCAGCCCTTCAAACCAAAACGCATTACTCCTTCACGGCAGAAATAGGCAGGGCGGTGGTACCCACCCGCGCGGACTCACAGATGTCCTACCACCAGTAATTACACAAATTATAATTTTGCGGGTTTGATTTTTATTACACGATGTTATTCCTTCACCGTGGAAGTCAATCGTGAACAATTGTTAAGTACGTATTTCATTAGAAAAATTGGTACCCGCCTGAGATTTAAACACCGGTGCATCACTCAACACGAATGCACCGGACGTCTTATCCCTTAGGCCAGCCTTTCTCAAAGTGGGCGATAACGCCCCCTTGTGGGCGCTGCAGGCTTAATGGGGGGCGGTAATAGACCCAGAAAAAAATGGGGGCGTTGTGTAGAGGCTTGGGAGGCGATTTTTAATTTCATCTAGGAGGACTCTTAGACACTGACTGAGCTCTCGCTATAGTGGTTTTTAAGTAGGTGAAAAAAGGGGGCGCTAAAAAATAATTTATTCTCAAAGTGGGCAGTAGACAAAGAAGTTTGGGAACCACTGCCTTAGGCCATGACGACTTCTAAACGACGACGACGATTTGCTTTATAAAGTTCAGTAGCCTCAACTACCGAATGTTTTAACGTCAAAATTGATCTCCCAATGTCCGATCAACTAGGAAATTGCCAATGTTTCAAGAACCGTCAACGATATAATGAATTTATTATTTTAAACTAAGATCTTGATCAGGATCATTGGGTTAAATAAAAAAATGGGTGGCGTTCAACTTGGTACACGTGAAACTTCTTTTGCGGTGTGTTGGATTGTGGTTTTCTCCATTTTTCATCCGTGACTTTTTTTGTGATAAGAAATGAGAGTATGAGGGAAACGGCCTAGCTCGCTTCCTCCCTCTCTCCACGGTCGAGTGGTACGTGAAACGCTGTATCTATTGTCTCACTCTCGCTCTTCCTAAATTGTATCTTTTCTCTCGAGCCGTGACAAATATGTCGCGAATTAAATTTTACTCTCGACGCGCCTAAAGAAGTTTAATTCAAAAACTTTAATTGAACCATTAGATTTATTTTATATACAAACGTTACTAGCTCAGTGTGAGTAAGGCGTAGTAAGAGCCCACAGCGCCACTATGATGCGACGTATCATTTGTTCTGGATGAAAGGGGAATGAAAAACTTATACCAGATCACTGCAACTATGAACTTGGGACATTTTCATAATAAAATTATGTATTATTATGCAGGTTCGGCATGGTGACCGCTGACACGGATGTGGACGAGCTGTTGGATCTGGTGGTGGCGGCCGGCAGGGAAGTCGAGGAGAGCTCCAAGGCCCTCACCGATATGTCGGAAGTCTTGAAGAAAGGTGAAACTTGGTGATTTAACGAAGGCTTAGAGATTCAAAGCTAGTTTTATGGCGAGTTACGGGCGTTTGCCACTGCATTTCTGGTACCTATAAGAAACAGCAAGTATTTTCAGTTAATTAAGATGCATGTTTGTTTGAATGTAAATGAACGACTATTTTTTTTAAGAGATTTTATGACCTGGTTACTAAGACTTTTAAGTCGTCTTATTTTAATTTATATATTCTTATTTTCATGAAAAATGAGTGAAATGAAATGAAGATGATTAATTTGAGACATTAATCAACTGGGATGAAATTAAATGAAATAAGATTAGATGATATGGGACGAAATGTAATCTCAGTAAAATGGTGGTCATTTACTGATACTTTTTCAGTGGACTTTTTGGAGGAACCCGAGAAGTTACGTTCAGCAGTTTTGTTTCATTTTTCCACATTTATGAACTTTCACAGATACTGTTCAAGTTAATAAACCACCGTTATTACACATTCACATCTAATGAAACACTAAATAGGCAAAATAAAACAAATCACACAACTTCACTTCTCGCCTATCCCGCCAAAAAGTCCTTTGTTGGGTTTTTTACTTTTTGTTGCTTAGATGGATGGACGAGCTCACAGCCCACCTGGTGTTAAGTGGTTACTGGAACCCATAGACATCTACAACGTAAACGCGCCACCCAACTTAAGATAAGTTCTAAGGTCTCAGTATATTTACCACGGCTGCCGCACCCTTCAAACCGAAACGCATTGCTGCTTCACGGCAGAAATAGGCAGAGTGGTGGTACCTACCCGCGCGGACTCACAAGAGGTCCTACCACCAGTTGGGTTGACCGCAGTGTTGCGCGGTGCTAGCTGAGTTAGTAGCGTGTGGTTGTGGTCGGGGCAGGCATAGAGGCGGCGCAGGCGGACATCGAGCGCGAGAGCCTGGAGCGGCTGTGGCAGGAGGGGCTGCTGCGGCGCGTGCCGGTGGTGGGCCGCGTGGTGTCCTGGTGGGCGCCCTCCGCCGCGCCGCCCGTGGGCCGCCGTNGAGAGCCTGGAGCGGCTGTGGCAGGAGGGGCTGCTGCGGCGCGTGCCGGTGGTGGGCCGCGTGGTGTCCTGGTGGGCGCCCTCCGCCGCGCCGCCCGTGGGCCGCCGTCTGCACCTCGCCAGCGGCACGCTGCAGCCCACCGACGACATCTACAGGTACCCCACACACACCCACCACTGTCCCCCACCAACTCGCACTGGACATTGTACGTTGCAAGACTGAACATCCCAAAGTGGGCGATAACGCCCCCTTGTGGGCGCTGCAGGTCTAAAGGGGGTAAGAAACCAAGATAAAAAAGGGGGCGTTGTGTAGAGGCTTGGGAGGCAATTTGTAATTTCGTATAAGACGACTCTTAGTTACCGACTGAGCTCTCGCTATATTGGTTTTTAAGTAGGTGAAAAAATGGGGGCGCGTAAAAATTATTTATTCTCAAAGTGGGCAGTACAAAAAACAAGCTTGAGAGCCCCTGACTTAGATTGAGACGAGCTCACAGCTACACCTTTTGTTAGGTGGTTACTGGAGCCCAGAGACATCTACAGCGTAAATGCCGCCGCCTACCTTGAGATACGAGTTATAAAGTCTCAGAATAGTTACAATGTGACCTTTAAATCGTTATGTTTAATGAGTTAGCTATCACAGGCTTACAAACAAGTCATAAGAAAACTGCGGTAAAGCGTTCAAAAAATACGGGTTTATAAAGATTTAATAACTCAATACGAATAAAAAAGAAAATCATTCTTTAAGCATCGCTCGATGATGAGGACTATGACCCTGAAGACACTCGGTCCTGGCGGCCGTCGCCTTAGATATTTGACGATAAACTCATATGGTTCCAATATGACAATCCAGCCGTCTTATACAGAGCTATTGTAGGTTCAAGAGCCAACACAGCATTAATACAAAGGAAAGAGAATAGAAAGGAAAAAAACGCTGCGCGTGCAAGTTGGTGCACGTGAATGAAGTGAAACTTCTTTTTCGATGTTTAGTATTGTGGTTTTTCTTCATTTTCCATCCTTAAATCAGATTGCTCTTGTAATAGGGAATGTGCTGCGTATAAGAGATGCGACATCTTCAACATTTATATTATATATATTTAAAATTATAGATAGAAAAATAAATATATATATGTATGTATTTTTATTTAAAAATTTCATTATAATATTGGACCTGCTAACGCTCGCGGTGGCCTGTAACAGGTATACTACGCGCGTGCGTTCGAGTGGTACACATTCACTCTCGCTCTGTCTCTTTCTGTTCCATGGTAGCTTTAAACGTTTAACGTATTAACGCAACCTTGTTGGAAGTAGCATTAGAAGTTTCACTTCTAAAGTTTAATTTAATTTTTGTTTCTCCTACAGGTTGGTTCAAAACAAAAGTAAAGACAGCACTGAGCCGGCGCGCGCGCACTCCCCGACCCGCGCCGCGCCGCAACACTAGTCCTCTGAGTCGTCGGCACGTACCAACCACTATAATACATTGAATACGAACATTATGCGGTTTATTCTAAATTTATATATATATAAAAATGAAAATAAAATGTCGATAAGGCAACGCGATTTTGTCGTAAATTCTAAGATCAATACGATCCGGAATGATGAAGCGGTCCGCTTGTGCAATTCCATCGTGTATGAGTAAGACGGAAAGCCATTTGTGATGTGTCGCATAGCTAATCTAGATGGCGCCACCCAAGCAAAGAGTTTATATGTTTTTTTAGTCTATGGTAAAAATATAATATAATTAGGGTACGTATGTAATTAGAATTAAATAAATCTTTAAAATATGAAACTTTTGTAATGTAGTTTTCATAAATGGTTTTTTTTTTGTAATTAATTGGATGATTTCTTTTGTAATCAACTTAGGTCATTGACCTAATTCAATTAATTAAATTGAATCCCGAGGCCTTCGTTCTGTTAAACCCCTTGAAGTCAATATCTCCATTACAAAAGCGGGAATAAAGAACTCGAGAAAGCTCGAAAGAGCGCTTTCGATCGATCAGATAATAGAGACTCAAATAATATAACTTTTGGTTCTGAGCGGCCTCAACTTATATCCCGAAGCTTTTGAACCGTGGCCGTATTTAGTGTATCATTTAAAGCCATGCAATTAACTGATGTTTGAGAAATTATAACATGTAATTTTGTTTATGCTGTAGTCTTTATATTTGTAATATTGTAATTAATATTCTTAATGTATGTATGTATAATAAACATTTAGAAGTACAGGTAACCTTTCCATAACACGGTAGATAAGTTCCTATAAAATTCCGTGTTGTGTGAAATCGCGTTATACGAGACTAGAAGTCAGTACAAAAAGGAGAGTAATTTTGTAATGAAATGAAACATGTCAACTATGCCTGTATGTATTTTTTTTATAATTATAAAAGATAAGCAGTAATATTTCGGTTATTCCCATATCGCACATACGGCGCGATATAATCACTAGTCAAAATTCAACATCTTATTATATAATTCATATATAGTTCTACTAGGCTATAGAAATAAAATAATATTTCTACACCTAAACTACAACTTTAAAATTAATCAGTAAAAGCAAAAGCCTGTTTCGTCTCACTAGTAACTATTAAAAAATTTATTTTCTCATACTTAGTTCAGTGTTGACAAAAATTGCCTAAGTGACTATAGCACCATATGTGCGATATATTGTGTGTTCATAGTATATAATGTATTTATCTAAATAATTTCAAACAAAAAACTCGTATTGTAGAAGTACCATGCTTTAAAAGGGTTTTGGGGAAGTTCTCTTCTCGTGTTATATAAGGGTTATTTGTATTGAAACGTATAAGGCTATATTGTATTTAGCGTTTAGAATTTAATTAGTATTGGAATGTAGCCGAATGTAGGTACGGGCGGAAGTCGTTTGTGTCCCGAATGAGACTGGCTGTGAAATGTTGCTCGCACGCTTCACTAGTATCTTCATATAAAACACAAATTGGATTTTTCTATGTTTCTATATTAACGTACACGCATATTTTAAATTTTGCAATAGATTTGATCTCCAGAATTTTGTTCCGTGCACCCGACTTCACAGAAGCCATTTTGGATTCATTTTGTTAATTTGACAGCTGTTTTTTTTTTGTTTGGTAGCTGAGGCAAACGAGTTAGCTTCCTGAATGCCACCGTCGCTCATGTGTGCGATTAAGTATAACTGTTTTAGATTTGGTACCGTAAAATGGGGCGATTAGGGACAAATTCCAACTTTATGAGCAATTTTAAGGTAGTTGTTGATGTATATAATGCTATATCAGGATCAAAATGATTGAGTCTTGGGGGCATCTTTGTTGTCTAATTTAAAATTATGCAACTAGCATTCCAGTTTAAGCAAAAAATGCAAAAATAGGTGTAATCCCTATTTACCAGAAAATTGCGGTTAATTGGGACGAAATGAGAAATTTGCTAGGGCTGGCACTACTTTTATTTTTATATATAGTTTTAATTAATTTATTTATTTAGTTGCAACTACAAAATGATCATCAATAACAAAAATTGAAAAACTGACAAAAGTACATGGCAGACATCACCTCAATTATAGGTGCAATCGACAGTGCTGATATTTCTATCTGGGTTAAGAGATTAGGTGTGTCGGTTATTCCATGGATTAATCAGATGAATACCCCCACTCTGAACAAATATTAAATATTTTATTATGTATTACTTAGACATTTTTGTCCACCTTGAGATTTCATTGATCTTGTTACATGTCTCTGCAAAATCGACTTACTTATATTAAATTGCTTATCTATTTCAACTAAAGACTTATTCCCAATTTCGCTTCGAATAAACCAGATTTTTACCAACAAATTTAAAAAATATTGTTATAACTACATAGACAACCCTACAAACCTGTACCTATTTATACTTAGGTCGTTTCCATTTCACGTATTCTCATCCCAATTGACCCCTTTTTCGTTGTTATTTGTACCTAAGACGTCCCCAATATCCCCAAAAACAACAGATTTTTACATGTATTTTTATTTAATCAAATACATTAAAACCAATAACAACTGAGACTTACCTTTAATATATATGCTGGTTCAAACACTAAATAACGTTTATAAATCATAGTCGTCTTCTATTATTATCAAATAAATAAAAGAGAGCAAAGTTTCTAGCACTAAAATAATTACCACCACAGGAAGTTAATTTGAAACGCGATTTTTTATAAGTTAGCAGCTATTATCATGCATATTCAGAGTTGTTTTGTGAACTTTCAACATTCTACTATTAAACTACAAAAAATGGAAGATTTTGCAACGAATTTATAACTTATATTGAGCGTCGAAAGATTTTCCTGGTTTTTTCCCGATTCGCCTGTCAATCCCTAATCGCCCCATTTTACCGGTATTTAATTATTTTAAATAAGCTAGACTTAAGATTGTGGATATATTAAACTGAAAGGACAGATACGTCCGGATTGTGTCACTCCTTGTAACATCAGCCATGTCCCAGTTAAATTTCACAATAGTTTTTTTTTTAATGCTTAGATGGGTGGACGAGTTAACAGCCCACCTGGTGTTAAGTGGTTACTGGAGCCCATCGACATCTACAACGTAAATGCGCCACCCATCTGGAGATATAAGTTCTAAGGTCTCAGTATAGTTACAACGGCTGCCCCGCCCTTCAAACCGAAACGCATTACTGCTTCACGGCAGAAATAGGCAGGTTAGTGGTACCTACCCGTGCGGACTCAATTGGTTGGGTTGGGCAATAGACAACTGGGAACCTAACTATACAGCCACATATTTTACTATAATAATCTCATTTGTACTATTGCAAATTTAAGACCAAAAATACTGAAATAGATCCAAACGTTTTCAAGTTATGTATATGTCTATGTCTAACGAACAGCAATTTTATTTACATTTATTATACATATATATACGTATATAAACGAGCGACGGTGTTCTTTCATATACTGGGCCATGTCTTAATAATTAAAAAAAAGGTCCATGTTGCATATATATGATTTACTATTGAAGTATTACGTTATAGTGATTTAAAAAAACGTTTATAAATAAAAGTGATAATAAATAATATATTATTTAGTACAAATCGTTAACTATGTCTTTCACTTAAATAGTTGTAAATAGACATGCTTTAACAAAAACCGACTTCAAATAGAAAAAAAAAGATATTCC